CTTTTGTTGTTTCAAATGATACTTATTTTGAAAAAAGATGCTAATTTGGAGGAATGGCAGAAGGGGATTAATAAGTTCATTTGGGCAGGGAAAAAGCCAAGAGTTAAATTTAAAATTATACAGGACATACCGGAAAGAGGAGGACTTAAGGTGCCTAATTTAAAATTGTACTATGATGCGGTGGCTTTAACGTTGATTAGTGATTGGCTCAACTTAACAAATAAAAATATTCTTTCTCTTGAGGGATGGGATTTGTTATATGGATGGCACGCGTATTTAATTTATGATAAAAAGTTGATCAGGTTTTTAAAACCCATATTTTGAGAAGTGCCTTGTTGCATGATTGGAAGAAATATTACTATAGGTTAAATTATAAAATTCCAATTTGGGGGATTCCTGGACACGTGATAGAGGGAATATCTAGGGGAGTGAATTTGGATAAGATTTCTTATAAGGAATTACTTAGTTTGGTTGGGCAGGATTGGCAATTAAAATCTTCAATTGAGTTGAAGCAAGAAAATATTGTATACTCTTGGTTTCAGTATAATCAATTGTTATTGAGGTGGAGTTTAGATCAAAAGGCTGGTATTACTTTAGAGGATGTGAATTTGGTAAAACAGATTAAAGACCAAAGTCGAGCCCAGATAAAGAGAATTTATAATGCTTTAATAGAATTGGATTCTGAAACGGAGTTAGTTAAAGATTGTATGGTTAAATGGGCTCAAAATATTCATGAGCCGATTTTATTGGATACATGGGAGACAATTTGAGTTAGAAATGTAAAATTTACTCAAGTGCAAAATTTAAGAGAAAATGTTTATAAAATGTTTTATAGATGGCATTTGGATCCTCAAAAGTTGTCCCGCATGTATCTGAATTTACAGCCCAAATGTTGGAGATGTGGAAGTTTAGATGCAACTTATTTTCACATTTGGTGGACTTGTAGAGATATAAAAGCTTTTTGGATTAAGATTTGGTGGAATATTCAAAAGATTTTTAAGAGAAAGATAAAGTTTACTCCGCAGTTATTTTTGTTGGGTATTATTGTAGATTTTGATGTTAAAGAAATCAATTTGTTGTTGAATCTTATAACAGCTGCAAGATTATTGGTGGGGCAATATTGGAAGAAAAACTCATTGCCTACAATGGAAGAATGGATACTTAAGGTGTCTAATTTAGCAGAAATGGCGAAAAATATATTATGGTTTGGAGAAGATGGATTGATTATATTCAAAAGAAATATGAAACTGAAAAGTATTATCTTGCATATGAGTAGATTTTAGATGATTATTAATAGTTTTAATTATATTATTATTTTTGTTTTTAATTTGTTAATATTTGCTTTGAAAAGGAGTTAAAATGTGTTATGGTTTTGATTGATAGTATAGTTGGTTAATGTTAGTTAGATTATGTTTGTTTATTTGTTACCCTGTAATCAGCTCTGGGAAGTGGGGGATGGGTGGGAGGGGTTTATTTGTTTTATTTAAATTTGTAAAACTTTTAATAAAAAAAAAATAGTAAAGTTGGAAGGGACCTTGGAGGTCATTTAGTTCAACTCCCTGCTCAGGCAGGAAATCCTATACCATTTCGGACAAATGGCTGTCCAGTCTCTTCTTAAAAACTTCCAGTGTTGGAGCATTCACTGCTTCTGGGGGCAGGTTGTTCCACTGGTTAATTGTTCTAACTGTCAGGAAGTTTCTCCTTAGTTTTAGGTTGCTTCTCTCCTTGATTAGTTTCCACCCGTTGCTTCTTGTCCTGCCTTCAGGCGCTTTGGAAAATAACTTGACTCCCTCTTCTTTGTCACAGTCCCTGAGATATTGGAACACTGCTATCATGTCCCCCCTCGTCCTTCTCTTCATTAAACTAGCCATACCCAATTCCAGCAGCCGTTCCTTATACTGTATGCTTTAGCCTCCAGTCCCCTAATCATCTTTGTTGCTCTTCTCTGTACTCTTTCTAGAGTCTCAACATCTTTTTTACATCGCGGTGACCAAAACTGGATGCTGTATTCCAAGTGTGGCCTTACCAAGGCATTGTAAAGTGGTATTAACACTTCACGTGATCTTGCAGCCTAGCATTGTGTTGGCCTTTTTGGCAGCTGCAGCACACTGCTGGCTCATATTTAGGTGATTGTCCACTAGGACTCCGAGGTCCCTCTCACAGTTACTACTATTGAGCATGGTGCCACCTATGCTGTACTTGTGCATTTGGTTTTTCTTGCCTAAATGTAGAACCTTGCTTTTTTCACCATTGAATTTCATTTTGTTAGTTAGTGCCCAGTGTTCAAGTCTGTCCAGATCCTTCTGTATCTTAAGCCTGTCTTCTGGAGTGTTGGCTATTCCTGCCAGCTTGGTGTAGTCTGCAAATTTGATGAGTTCCCCATCTATGCCCTCGTCCAAATCATTGATGAAGTTGTTGAAGAGCACTGGGCCCAGAATAGAGTCGTGAGGCACCCCACTACACACTTCCCTCCATGTAGATGCAGTTCCATTGAGGACCACACACTGAGTATGGCCAGTCAGCCAGCTACAGATCCATCTGGTGGTGATGCTGTCTACCGCACATTTTTCTATCTTGTCAAGTAGTAGGTTGTGATCTACTTTATCAAATGCCTTACTGAAGTCCAAGTAAATTATATCCACAGCATTCCTCTGATCCACTAATTTTGTCACTTGGTCAAGGTATTTATCTGGCATGATCTGTTTTTGACAAACCCATGTTGGCGTTTAGTAATGACTTTGTTTGCCTCTAGGTGTTCGCTGATTCATTGTTTGATTATCTTTTCCAGGATCTTTCCAAGTATTGAGGTCAGGCTGATAGGTCTGTAATTTTCTGGATCCATTTTTTTCCTTTTTTGAAGATGGGAAATACATCAGCTCTTTTTCAGTCCTCTGGTTGTTCCCCAGTGTTCCAGGATCTTTGAAAAATATAGTTCAGTGGTTCTGAGATCACATCTGCCAGTTTCTTGAGAACCTTGGGGTGTATCCATCTAGTCCTGGCAATTTGAACTTGTCTAGGCTGGACACGTGCTCACTTACCATTTTCTTGCCTATCTTAACTTGTGTTTCTATTCTGTTTTTTATGGTACTATTTTTGATAGGTTGGTCTGTTTTTTTCCCTTTGTGTAAAGACAGATGCAAAAAATGAGTTAAATAGTTCTGCTTTCTCCCTGTTGCTTGTCACCTTCTTGTCATTTTCACCCACTAATGTGCCAATCATTTCCTTCACTTTTTTCTTGTTTTATACATGTTGAAAGAAGCTTTTTTTGTTATTTTTTACTTTGGTCGCAAGCCTTAATTCATTTTGAGTCTTGACTTTCTTCACTTCATCTTTGCAGGCTCGGGCTATTTGCTGATATTCTGACTTAGTTATGTGCCCCTCTTTCCACTTTCTATGTCCAATCAGAAATAAATCTGTGGCTTATTTTTAATTAGAAGGAGTTTGGTAGCATCTGATAGAACTAACACATTTTATTAAGCAGTTTTAGGTTTTCAGTTTATGCCTTTGAATACAATTGATTAATTGAAAAAGGTCCTCCACTTCTGAACTTTTGCCACCATAGACTAACATCACCAGCTGTAAGGAGAGTTTGATAGATTGCTTTCAACATAAAAAGGATTTGTTCCTGATCTTCTTCCATAGGAAAAGTCTGTTCCTGATCTTCTTCCAGAATGATGTATCAGACTAGAAGCTTTACAATCAGGAAGTCCAGAAAGAGAGTCTTTTTTTCCCCACTAAGTAAAAAGCACAGCTGAGCTTATCACAGCTGGTGTTTCAAAGTTACCCAAGTCTTATCTACTTTCTGGGCTATCAGCCAAATACTTTTAGACCAGGGGTTCTCAACCTTGGCAACTTTAAGACTTATGGACTTCAACTCCCAGAATTCCTCAGCCAGCAAAGGTTGCCAAGGTTGAGAACCCCTGTTTTAGACAGTAACAAGTTGAAGTATCAGGTTTAGCCACAAGATGTCACCCCAAAGTTATTTTAATCTTTTCAGTTTTCAGGTTTAAGGAAAAATCCAGATCTTGCTATGGATGAGCAGAGAGAGGCAGAGGAAAGGAGGACACAGGTCTTTGTGAGCGTGGGGAGGCCCAGGGTCACAGTCACAGTCACTAGTCTGTGGACACCTTGCACACTGCAGACGCTGCAACTATCATAAGTGTTGGCTAGTTGTCAAGAGCCCAAATTTTGTTCATGTGACTATAAGGATGCTATGAGAGCCAGAACTTTAAGTACCACTCATTCTGTTGGAGAAAGAGTGGCAGAACCTGAGGGCAGAATTAAGAATCCCTACACAGCCAATTTCAAGCAGGTATTAACTGTTAGTTAAACATTAATATTCTCAACTAAGGGTTAGCACCTCCATGGAATTAAATAAGGGTCAGCAGAATTCAAGGGAAGTTGGACTTAGATTGCTTATGGTTACTAGAGATTCTAAGCTGACCCTTTTTTAACTTTGCCCCCAGGTTCTGCCATTCTTTCCCCTACACATTTAGTGCCTTCGCAACTTTGAAGGATCACTGAACAAGGGATCAGTAAGCAAGGACTATCTGTAATGTTACCCTTTTAATAATCATACAGTTTGTCTTCTGTGAAAAAGGTTGCTGTCTTCTAAAAGCAACAGGGGAAACAGCCTGCTTCTTCTAACTGGAGATATTAACAGAATGTCCTTGCTAGCATGTTGCTAGATAAACCAATTTTCTGACTTGACATTCAGCTGTTGTTTGGACTTGATTTACCTAAATGACTGTAGTTCTATACAAGGTGGCTAGATCTATTCTTATTAAATCATAGTAAAGCATACACTTTGTTCCTATTAGGTCAGAAAATAATTAATCATGTACCCTATTATCTTAGATTCCTGGTCTAATTTCCAATTGAATACAACTTTCAAAGGATGAACAACATTAATTGGTTGCAGCAAAATCAATATTTGTCTCTAAAAATAGACTATGGTTGCATTGCATATGATAATAAGTGCTTCATTTTTCTCTTGGCAGAAATATATCGTCCGACACATCTTGGCTCTGCTACTTTGTTTTCCTCCTTTTCCCCAACAGCAGCACTAGAAATTTTTGCTGATCTCCAGAGAGCAATGAAGAGTTTTGTTCTAGAGAATGATCTGCACAGTCTTTATTTGGTAGGCGTGTGTGTGTGTGTATGTGTGTGTGTGTTTATGACAGTAGTGGATTAGGTTTAATGTATCTATCAAACATATTTAACCCTTGTTTGAAAGTCAAGACGCAACATAGAGCAATAAAGTGAATTCTCCATTTTATTCATCATTCCAGAGAAGAACAGGGGGACTGTAAGGTAATCCTGAACCTTAAAGCACTGAAATGAAGGTACAGAAGGACATGAAAATCAGACGTGGAAGCCATCTTACCAGGCAGCATATAGGTGTTAATGGATTTATCAGAAGAATATATGTACTTGCACACTGGAGATTCCTCAGATTCACTTATACAGCATGATTCCAGATCATGACTCCTATTTGGCCTTGCATCACCTACATGGATATTCTGCAAGATTTTTTTTAAAAAAAGTTTTATTTTTTTTAACAGAATTCAGTAATAATTATTCAACAAAAACGTGTTGTCTGAGTATCTTATTCGCTAATACAAATTAAATTCCTAATCCCTAAATCTTTTCTCTAACCATCGATAAAATAGGTCCCAAGTTTGAAAATATTCTGTTTCTTCTTTTTCTTTCAACCTTAATGTAAGTCTGTCATTTCCGCACAGTTTAATATTTTTTTGATTATTTCTTCTGGTGGTATTTCTTCGTTCTTCCAATATTGTGCAAATATAATTCTTGCCGCTGTTATCACATGTAGAATCAAATACGGACTTTGCTTATCAAGTTTTTCTGGCATTATACCTAGTTTAAAAAATGCAGGTTTATAGTCTGTGTTTCTCTAACATTTTTTCTAACCAAGTGTGGATTATTGTTCAATATCTCCTTGCTTGAACACATGTCCACCACATATGATAATAAGTACCTGGTTTGTGTTTATATTTCCAACATTTCTCTGACATTTTTTAAAACATTTTTGCTAATCTTGGTGGTGGAAGTGCCACTTGAACATTTTATATAAGTTTTCTTTATATGAAACTGACATTGTCAATTTATAGTTTCTTTCCAACAAATTTTGCCACTTCTCTAAGTCTATATTATATCCAAAATTCTTTGCCCATGCTATCATTGTTTCTTTTACTTGTTCATCTTCCATTTTGAAATTTAATAAAAAATTGTACATTTTTAATTAACTTTTCATCAGAAGTTAATAATGTCTGATCAAACATAGTCCGCTCTTTATAAAATCCATATTGTTTAATATTTTTGTTGTATCTGACTTGCATTTGTAAACATGACCACCATGTTAAATCGATGCCCTGATTTTCCATCTTTTGCCTGGATTTTAAGTTCCCTTCAGAATTTAGAATATCTTTGTATGTCCATATTTTATCGAGACTGACTAGATTTGGATGTACAAATGCTTCCATTGTTGAAAGCCATCCTGGAATTTTCAGATAAATTTTACATTTTATTTTCCCCCAAGTTAATAATAATGCATTTCTCTCCTATTTAAAGAGTTCCTTGGTCTGTTTGGGCCAACCACCGTTGGCTCCGAACACCCAAGGTTTCCCTTCGTCCTTGTTGCCTCTCCAGGGCGACTTTCTGACATCTTTGGGTCTCCAGACAAAGTGAAATCGGATTAGGCAACTGGAGCTCCGGTTTCTTTCATCCGTGTCACCATGATACCCGGGGTGAACTCCTGGATATTCTGCAGGATTATTTGTCCTTGTGTACAATCTTATTCAATTTCTATGCCTAGGTTATTTCTCAGTCAGAGCCTCTATCAAGTACATGGCTACAGATAGACTTCTCAGTAAACACTGTACACTCACACCAGTACACTCACACACTGTAACTGGAGCACAAAAATCTTCCCCCTCCAACAAGCTAGCAAAGGGGTGGATTAAAAAGCAATGGGCAATCTCATATGAATATTATGTATTATCCTCCTAGAGCTAAATTAGGACTCGTATTAGTAAAACACAATTTCAACCAACATAAGATCCATTTCTTTTTATTATGAAAAATGTTCAACATTTCTCCAAAGAAATGGAAATCTTGTAATTTGAAAACTAACTCAGTTTGGGTGGATTTTTTTGTAGGTCACTCCTGTTTATGAAGACTGGACCAAAATAGACTGGTACCAATTCTTTTGCTTGTGGGAGAAGTTGCCTGCCTCATTGAGAAGAGTAGCACAACTTGTGGGAATTGAAGAAAGTTTTTTGGCTTGTTCTGTCAAAGGCAACATCATTGCTAAAACAGAGAAGCAATATAGGCAAATGGCTATCCACAAAAGGTAATGACTCAATAATTTTTTATTGATTGATGTATACCAGTGGTGGCGAACCTATGGCATGGGTGCCAGAGGCGGCACTCAGAGCCCTCTCTGTGGGCATGTGCGCCCTTGCCCCAATCCTAGGCCTTCAGCTGGGTTTTATAAAACCTTTTCGCTTTAGGCCTCCGCCATCGTGTACCAAAAAAAAAAAGGTTCAATCAATCAGTCAATTTCAACTTCTCAAGGGGAAAATTTTTTTTTGCAAAGTTGGAACTGACTGATTAAACTTTTTACTCCCACCCAATCTTCCGTTACCACGGCAGCCACGCCCAGCCAATGGGCCACACCCACCCGGCACCTGACGATGAATTAGTGGGTTTTGGGTTGCAGTTTGGGCACTTGGTCTCTAAAAGGTTCGCCATGACTGATGTATACTGTATAACAGTGCTGCAAAATTTGTCTCTTATCTGCAGCAATTTCTATTTGTTTAGCTGGAAACAATTATTATGGATGAGTTATTTTTGCTGCAGCTTTATAATCTCTAATTTTTTCACACCACAGAGAAAAGTTACCCAGGACAGTTGTCTATCTTTTTGCTTCCCATTTTATCAATTTTTCTTCCTCTTTATCAAATATCTGTTTGGTCGCTTTTCTTTCTTTCACAGAAAGAAATTGTATCTTAATTTTATTAATACAGCTTTTATTAATACAGATTTTTTACAAGCTTGGCTCTTCTGGATTTAATAAATGAAGTTCCTTTAAAGGATGTTGCGAAGAAATATGGCTGTAGTCGTGGACAGCTTCAATCTTTACAACAGTCTGCCGCTACATATGCAGGTAAGAAATTACTGATAGTGTTCCAAATAAGCAATTAACAACAATTTAGGTGACAGCCTGCTTTAATAAAATAATCTCCATTTTTCAGTCAATTTCATTATTAAGTAGATACTTTGTACATGCACTTTCTCAACAAGCAAAACAGAAAAGATGACAAATTTCCATACTTACATCGTTGTCATTACATTCATTCTCATTCTTCCATTATGGAGCACTGGTAAAGATTAAAATAAATCCAACAGCCATTTGTACAACAAAACCAAAATAGAAGGAATGTTCACATCATTAGCTATGACTGAGCAAGATTTACTGAACATGTTCTTAAGCCAGGGAAAAAAATATACAAGCTTTCAACAAACCATGACAATATTTTCTTGTTTGATGGGAATTACCTGTAGTTGCTTCTCTCACTTGATAAAACAGCCTGGAGTGTGCACACAAAGGTAGAAATAGCCTCCATATGTGGGGAACCATGGAGAAAATCTATGTGGTCGTTAAGATTCAATAACAATGGCACATAATGATCATCAAGATGTGGGGAATAAGCTATTTTCACAATTGTTCCTGCCTTGTTTTGCTACAGGAAATTGGCATTTGTTTCCTTCAGCTTCCCACAAGCAAAGTCATTTGGGGAAGCCAGCAGGAAGCTGGAAATTATTCCTCCTCTTGCTAGTGTTCTTCTACCTGTGCTCTGTCCCCATGCCATCTGTTCACTTGCCTGCCCATGGGGTCTTCCCACAGAACTTTCCCACTGGACTGCTTGGAGTCCTTGGGCTTCTGCCTCTTCCTGCTTAACAACTCACAAATCCTGGTGTTACTATGGCAGTTGGGACTGCTGGGATTGTTGTCAGTAAGTGAATGCAATCACATAGCACAAGTCGTGCTTTTATGATGGCGTTGCTTGGCAATGGAAATTCTTGTCCCAATTGCCATGATAACCCAAGAAATACTTGTAGAAAAAAAAAATAGAAAAAATATATTGAGGATTTGCAAAGCAGAAAAATTACATTAAGATTTACAGGATGGTAAAAGAAAAAGTTATATCATTTTTGCAGGTCATATAGAATTGGAACAGATAATTTTAAAAAATATCAATTTAGCATTGTAAGAATATTAAATTCAAATCAGAAATCAAGTTAAGCAGGCAAGTTGATAAGAAATATCAATCATTAAGTTGTTAAGAATATAATAATTAGCAAAAAATTCCAACTTATATGAAACAGTAACTTGGTGGCCAATCAGGCAAAATCTAACGTTTTAAATGTAGCAGAAGTCTTTGAGTGCAATTATAGTTCATCAGTGATCCCCAACCGAAATGTTAATATCAGACATTTTGGATTAAAAATTATTTTAATATTAATACATTAACCTTAGCTCCTTTCCTCTAGGGAAAAGAAAGGAAAACAGAATACAGACACATACTATACTGTTCTAAACAATCTACAGAGAGTTCCTTGGCTTTTTCAGCCTTAAGGAGGTGTATTTCCACAAAGTGCTTTGCATAGAATATCTGGGAAATACTGCTTTTCCTTTGAGTGTGTTCACCAAAATTGTAGTGCCATTGATTCCCCCCTCTTCCGGCAACGGAGGACTCATTTTTACCAATATTTAACTATTTACTCATTCAGTTTTCCTCATATTAGCAGTTTAGACAAAATGTCCATTCTTGGCAGGTGCAAGGTTTTCTGAAATAAGTTTTGTAAATGTTAAAAAGCCCCATTATTCATCTTAAAAGATACCACCTAGGAGAGGGAAAGTAGTGCTGAACTCATTATCAGGTATAAACAAACAAAATTTAGTACATTGTAAGACAAATGTGGAGATAGGTCACATTAGTAATGATTGAACATAAACACAGTATGCTTATAAGTTTTCTTTAGATCATTTGATTCAGAGAAAGATATTCTTAGCATAGCCAGACAATATAAAAGCTCAAAATTGTTAAGTTGTTCAAAAGGCATCCATTCTTGTGCTTTAATGCATCAAAAGTTTTTCTCTTGACTGAGTTGTGCTACATTTGCTGGGTGATTTAAACATTTAAACATTTGCTAGATGATTATTCTATGTGAGAGAACATACCCCAAGGAAATCTGAGTTTTCAGAATTTTTAGAGAGACATTCACTAATATGGAATGGCAGATTCAATCTTTTCCCTCTTCTATTTATATTTTTAAATATATATTTCTATATTCCAGGGATGATTACTATTTTCTGTAACCAGCTGGGATGGCACAACATGGAACAATTGCTGTCCCAGTTTCAGAGTCGTCTTAATTTTGGAATTCAGAGAGAACTCTGTGATCTTGTCCGGATATCTTTGCTAAATGCACAGTGTGCTAGAGCTCTTTATAATGCTGGTTTCATCACAGTGGCTGATGTAGCTAAAGGGACTCTTGAGGAAGTAGAAAATGTTTTCAGAAATGCAGCACCATTCAGAAGGTAGGAAAACATTTCAGTATTGCTGAAAATTATCCTTTTTGTGTAGTGTAACTTGAGGAAGCTTAAGCTACTGGATAATAGTTTGCTTGGATACAATTCAAATACTCTTGGATTCTCCATCAGTGAAAGGTTACAGCAGGCAGGAAAAGTACAAAAGATGCTAAAGTCCCTCTTCCTGTCAAGTTAACCATATTTGCGATCTTACTTCAAGGAGGGAAGAAAGAACTTTACAGACTTTTTCCTTTGCAACATATTTGTCTTCGTTTTATTCCTTTTACTCTGGAGCCATTTAGCTGTGTAAGATCTCTTGGTAACTGACATACTGATTTTCACTGTTTTGGTCAGATAATTAGATAATCCTTGTCATCCCACCCAGACAAAGACATTGCTGTCCACAATCATTTTCAACTTGCGCAATTTGGTTTACTGACAAAATGAAAAATCAATTTTATGGGAAATAAGTAGTCCTTTTTTAGTGGGTGTAGACAGTATCACGCTTAGATGTGTATGAGATATATATAGAAACCAATTCCATACATGACTCACTTTAATTAGAGATTTTACTATTATTTCCACAGCCCCTTGGTTACTGATTCTTACTCCCCCTCCCCCAGTGTTAACTTAATCCAGAGAACCACTTGAGTGTAATGCTGAGGCATAGTGTAGTGTAGGGACTGGGAGATCATGAGTTCTAGTCCCCACCTCAGGTACAAAGGCAGCTGGGTGACCCTGGGCCTGTCACCCTCCCTCACCCTAGGAAGCAGACAATAGCAAACTACTTCTGAAATCTTCCCAAGAAAACTGCAGAAATTTATCCAGGCAGTCACCAGAAATCAGCATTAACTCTAAAGCACCCCAAAAATATCCACACCTTAGTCCATCACAAACATGTTGCCATTTTCTGTTTAAAATGCTTATATATTAAATTATTCCAAGGAGTGTTTTCTTCTATTCTTGAAGAACATAAAATTATAAAAAGTTGGAATTAACAATTTGTTCCTTGCTGACTTTATAGTAAGTCAAAATTACAATATTTAGCTCATACTTTCCCACTTTCTTTCCTTAGGCACTGCAATGTAATACTCAGGTCTATATACAAAATAGCTTATACAGTTCATAAATTATCAGTGACATAAGCGATTTTTTATTTTCTTTTAATTTATTTATTTGTATCCCACCTTTATAATTTTTACAAATAACTCAAGATGGAAACATATCCAACACACCTCCCTCCTCCTATTTGCCCCACAACAACAACCGGTGAGGTGAGGTGAGATGAGAGTGAGGGACTGGCCCAAACTCCTGACCTTCCTCTTTCTTTCTACCCCTGTGCCTTAACCACTAAACCAAACTGACTCTCTGAACTCCATTTCAGCTCCATGTTCCTATACTTCATCAGTCTTGAATAAAGAGTGGTAGCTTGAAATCTTTACAGATAGTCCCTAATTAATCCCCACTAATTAAGACCAGAATTTTTATCACTGAGTAATGCAGTTGCAGGTGTAACATCACATGACTGCATCACTCGGTGACATTAGTTTCAGTAGTCCCATTTCTGGCCATTAGTCCGGGCTCTCATTCTTCTCCTGCCCTGCCACACTCACCTCCACTGCAACTCCCCCAGCTGCCTATCTCCCTCATCTCTGCCCTTTGAGGCATCCTCCATTCCACCACCTTGTGCGCCCCCATTGTCCTACATGCACTCATTGCTCTTCTGAAATTAGCTTGTTCCTTCAGTAGATGGCTGCTGGCTATCCTTCTTATGAGGCCTCCGGAAGAAGGCCTCATAGTCAGCAGTTGCCTTGCGGAGGGCCAGACTGGACATCAGCAGTGGGAGGAAAAAGATGTCAAAGATCAGTTGGGGCAGCAGAGGCAGCTAAGTGCAGGGCCGCCAAAAGGGTAGAGATGGGGGGGGAGTAAGTGGGTGGAGGGAAGCTGAACTGCACCCTGTGAATAAATGCAGGCGGGCTGTCAGGCACCCATTTTGATCACCCTGGGGATGCTGCAGCTTTGAGGACTGGGCATCAGTACCATTCATTCAGCACTATCATAACTTCAAATGGTTCCTGAACGAATGGTTGTTAAGGGAGGACGTCCTGTAATATGCTTGTGTGCCTTGCACTCCCTCCCATATGTCTATGGAGATTCTCAATAATCCAGGTCATGGTTGTCCCTAAGGTGCTTTTTTTAAACAAAACAAAAGGCAACTGGACTTTGTCTTTTTTTTTTCTCTGAAAACCTTTCATTTCTTATCCAAGAAGCTTCTTCGGTCCTAACTTAAGTGGTGGGGAATGGAAAGATTTATATCCTTGCAGTCAGCAAAGAGTCATTCAGGCCACTTGGGGGAATTATCTGTATCCTCGGAGTCACCTGAATCAGAGTGCAAATGGGAGTGGAACCTTCTTGGGACTGCGGAAAGGACTGCATTCATTCCCTCCCAACTTTTTTCCTTTCATTTGGCTGTTGCCCCACTTATTAATCCTCTTTGTCCAAAGCAAGTGCCTGGATCATGCTCAATGTTGAACTCATTCAATTTGTAAATATTACTTTAAGCGTCATTCTTGCTTTATTCTAGTACTTCTTTCCCTCAAGCCTGCAGATACTTCCCTTCTTGCGTACTAGAACCATCTTCCTCGTTACTTTTTTACAGGTGGTTTGAAAGGAGGGCATATGTCTTCTGTCAGGTGTTCCCTTTCCCTTAAAAGATCTCCTGTGTTAGTCAAAGATAAGAAGATACTGTATGAATTCTTTAATTATATTTAAAAATGAAAGATATTTTTTTTTTAATAAAATTGGCTTGTGTCCCTTGCTTTAGTACTCGCAGAGCAGTAGATGAAGACGAGCAAGCTGCCAAGGAGCGCCTTAATGCCCATTTCATGTGGATGTCTGGAATAAAATGCTTAACTGAAGGTGAAGCAGCCTGTCTGATTTTAGAGGAGGCTAAAAGGCTTTTAAAGCATGACTTAGCTCTTTGGGGAGTACAGTGGAACCCCAGTACCTCAATCTTGCTGGATACGTCTTATACATTTTCTACAAAGGAAAGTGTTACAGAAGGCCACCGGAAACCCCAAAATAACCACAATATGACTTTATCAGACACAAGGGTCAATTCACAAATCAAAAATATATTGTCTGTTAAACAAAAAAATAAGAGGCAGCTGGAAGGTAATTCAGCAGAAGAGATTGATAATAAGGTTCCAATAGGGGCAGAGGCAAGAAATGATGATATACACCCTAGTGCCAAGAAACGAATGAATTTAAACAGAGATATGATAAATTCACATGAGAAACAAATGTTGGATGCCAGTGAGGCAATGGAAAGTGCTGAAGACATTATGAAGAGAAGCTTGAAAGAAGGCATAAAAAATGATGTTGCAACTAGATTTAAATCTAATGTCGAACTTCATTCCAAGCAAAGTATGGATAAAAATACAATTACAAATCCCAGTGGGATATTACAAGCTGCAAATAGAGATGAAGTCAATATTCATACCTGCAGTTTTTCAAGCAACATAGAACGTATTAAGAATGGTTATTCTTCTGATTTGGATCTTGTCTTCAAAGAATTTGAAGAAAGCTTCCAGTTGGATACCCAAACAGATAGACTATTACAACAGCAGATGGCAGATGAAACTGCTAACAAGCAACAAATCAAAGACAAAAAACTGGTAGACAGTCTAACACAGAGAAACTGCATTGGTATAAATGGTATCAATATGTCAGAAAAAAATGCTATATGTATTAGGGATAAACTAGAGTGTGGAAAAGCACATTCACCATTATTGCTTAGTAAAGTATCAGATTTGGAGGGGCGTCAAACTGAAAAATACCAAGGAACATCAGTTGGCTTGGAAACAAGCTGTTTTTCTGTCACAGATTCCCAGTTGGATAGCTTCTTACGGCACTATCAAACTCCAAACTTAACAGAACAACAGCTCACTGTTCTTCCAAATAATATTTCTTTTTCTCTCAACCAATACCCATCCACTGTGGATATAAATGAAGCAAAACTTAATGGCAGTGATAGTTTATTATTTGATGGAGACTTTAACCACATGGATGGCTCCCAGGATGGTGATAACAGTGAAATAATCATGGAGACAATTCCACAGGAGCTGGTAAACCCTCCTTTGTTCAAAAGTGCTTTAAAATATACCTCAGGTGAATTGGAAACAAGACTGAATAAAGCTATATCAAATAGTACTATAAACCAAAAATTGTCAATGGGGTGTAACTTTATAATGTCAGATACTAGTTCTTTACATGAAGCAAAAATATTAAATGGTATGGTTTTACCTCCTTTTTATAAAAACAGCAAGATTCTGAATAAGACAATGAAAAGGCTAAAAAGTAGTGAAAAGAATGTAAGTGAAATTCCACAGAAAGATTGTACAGAAGAAAATGATAAGCAAATGAACAACCCTGATGTTTTATTTGATTTGAGTCCAGGAATGCAGGAAGTTTTAGACAGAGGGTTAAGTTCTTCCAATGATAAATCTGAAATGGGGCCAAAAAACAAATTGAATTTAGTGTTTTCTAAGAATACTACAGATTCAAGGACTCCTACCATTTGTCCTGGTCAATGTGAGTTATCCTTGCACAAAGATTTTGGCAGAAATTGTGTAACAAGAATGAAGGATGATCAAAAGAACAAAAATGGAAGTTGTGTTTCTTGGATAGATGGGAACAAAATGCCTTTTTCACCACTGAATGTCATAGAATCTACTTCAAAATGCATAGAAATACCGGTTGTGACAAAAACAGAAAATCCAATCTCTGTCAATAAAGTTCCATATGTTCAGTTTTTACAGAAGGATAAATCTGTTTTACCCATACAGGAACAAGTATTACAACGTCAACCAGAACATACTGAGTTTAATCTTGAGGATAATTCACTGATAAGTGAATATTTTTCACTCCATTTATCTCAGGAAAAGGTTCCTCCAGCATCTTGCAGTGCTGATAATTTCTCAATAATTGATGTGGCAAATGATAAAACTCTCTTCCAAACTTTCATTAAAGAATGGAAAACACACAAAAAATTTTCTATCTCTGTGGCTTGTGAAAAGACAAAAAGCCCTCTGTCTCACAGATCAGCTATTGGTGCAAAGTTCAAGCAAGGTGAGTTGTCTGCCGTGTTTTAGCTTGCAGATGAATATTTTCAAATTTGTATTAATAAACCATTTAAAAAAACATTTACAGATTAATTAGATAATTTAGTTACAATTTTGGAAGGAAATAAATTCAGAATTTTATTGCTGTGCAAGAGTTACTGATGTCTAAGGTGGCAGGTGCTCCATAATTGAGATGTACTTCATATGAAACATCAACCAAAACTGATAGTTCTGCAGGCAGTAAAGCAGTAATTTCTATATATACATTCAACTTAATACAGCATGTTTTGTTTATACATAGTACATAGTACTGCACATTTGTGCACACATGCATGAGCACACAGGAATTAAAATTGAATGATACTGCTAACATATGGTCAGGCCTATAGTGCCAAGTGCCAGAACATTTGAAAAATTTTTACCACATTGCTTTAGCTGATAGCTGAAAATTGTAAAGTAGACATTTATGTGCTAGTTGTTCAACTGTATAGCAGTGTGATACTGAGTGGCTAAGCTGAACAAAGAAAAAGAAAGGCAAGTATCTTCCTTATCTTGCTAAATGCCTCCCTCAAGACCATAATTAAGAGCACTGTCTGAATAGGTACATTTATAGATATAAAACAGCAAAGCTCTTAATAAACAAATCAAAGTTGACAGGTTAGGGGTCAGTTGAAGAATGACATGACATCTGGTCAGGATGAGTTATAAGCACTTCTAAACTGCATTAATCTCACTTCCTTTAAGACTGGCTAGCCATATCCTAGAAAGAGAAATTCTAGAGACATAGAAAAAGTTAACAGTGTTATTCTCAAATAAGAAAAAGATATATTGCTTCCTTTTTCATATAACTAATGGCATTTATTAACCAAATATAGGTACAGATTTCTACCATATTATGCTATATTTTGTTCTGTCAGAATCAAACTAGATTCATACTCCTAATAAATAGGTGAGGGCAGTTAGAAGAAGGTTTATCACTGCAATGCTTTTAAAATGCATATGGTTGTTTTATTACTATTAGCACACATAAAATATTTGTTTTAATGAAAGTATGGAAGTACTGTGTGGAAGTTAAGTTTGTGACTATCATAAATTTATCTGCTGGTGATCACCCAATGAATTAATAGTTTGGTGCTATGCTCTTATCACAATTATTTTACTTAAGAAAGACTTTTCAGAGATGGACTTTTCAGTGATAGCATAAGTTAATAAAAAAAGATAGGTGCTGCAGCTAAGTAGAAAGAGACTATATTGGGGTTATTATAATTAATTTCTACTCTTTTCAACCAATTAAACTGTTCAAAAAATATGTAAACATGGTGAGGATCCTGTCCATCGACATAATTATTCTCTGAAAGCAAAATAGAATAGGACCAAATTTGGTTTAAAAGCTGCAAAAGAAAGATTGAATTAAAAAATTGGCTTGATCAGGCCAGGGGCTACAGAGAAAAAAAATAAATCACTCCCTTCTGCCAAATCCCCAATGCCTTTTCCTCTTTCTCAGAAGTGTAATCCAGAGTAGGGATGGGTGGAAAGATCTGAAATGTCAAAGAATTGCAGACACAATTTCCCTTACTACTTGTTTTTACTTCCATTTGTATTCATTTATAAAAATGAATGTGTATGTCTATGCAAACTTTATATATACTTTAGTTTTCCTGGATTTATTGATTAGAGTAGATTTAAATCCAGTATAATAAATACAGCCAGCATGGGAAGGAGCAGGAAAAACAAATCCAATCACTCAGCACAATCATAAAGAGATTCATTGAGGGGGGGGAAGATTCATATAGCAAGATTGTTGCTCTGCTGAATTAATGATTTACAGCTATTTTTATATCTGTGCTTATTTGGAATTCCACATGTTAACTACACTGTTGGCAAACATCTTCATATACTGCTGTATAATACTGTCAGAATTTACTGAAGTTAATTATATAGGACAAAGATGAAGAGGATGGATGACTATTACACTATTACACACGGCAAAAAAGCTCTATACCTTGATGCCATCAGTGTTGTTGAAATTCATTTTTCTAACATTAGAATACTCAGAACTTAAGTGATAGTTTATCTACAGGTTTAAAAGATTATAAACAATACCAAAATGGAAAGACTGCTTTCTACATGAAGTCTTTGGCTGATTGAAACTTGCAAAGGTTAAAATTATTGTAGGCTGCTTCTGTGTGTCCATGATTGCTCTATAGGAAGTACATCTATGAAAATTCTCCATGAAAATGATGGATTTCCTGTTCATGCCTGCGAAGACTTGCTGGTGGTTGGATTAGCTGTGTGCTGGGGTAGAAAGGATGCTTACTACATCTCATTGCAGAAGAACTCTCAAAGCCAGATAGGTAAGAATGTCTTTATTGTTTAGAGGTAATAAATATAGTGTGTGTATATATATAGTAAAAAAACGACCTCCAGGATAAATGTAAAAAACAACTATTTATTAGCTAAGCTTTCATCGGTCCCCTGCCGACATCAGAGTAAAAAACCAGAGACTCTGGTTTTTTACTCTGATGTCAGCAGGGGACCGAAGAAAGCTTAGCTAATAAACAGTTGTTTTTTACATTTATCCTGGAGGTTGTTGTTTTTCTACTGTTAATATGAACACAAACGGGATTTGTGGTGTGTGTGTGTGTTTGTGTGTACACCATATTAATGAATTAAGTTAAAGTTAGTAGCATTTATTGAAGAGAAGTTGGGTTTTGTTTGTTTTTAATTTACATTCTTTTTTATAAAATACCTGCAAATTATACTGTTTTTAAAAGTAATTAGGAAATTGTTTGCCGGGGGCAAAAAACCCAGCAAAGACCCTAGGACAAGGGGAAGAAAATATCTTTGAGAGGCAGTTCTGAGTCAGGTGACAAAAAGAAAAGTATATGTAGAAAGGAAAGAGAAAGAGAAATATTTTCAATATAGTTTACAATAGAAAAAGGCAAGGAAGATTTCTGCTTTTGTATAACAAAGCACATTTGTATACAAATGTATGCTGTCATGCTTTCTTCCTCTCACTTTTTCTTGTCTCTTTAGAAGTAAGTCCCAGTTTGGCACAGCCTCCATTGGATCAAGACCTGTCTGTGGTAGAAAGATTGCAACATCTTAAGCTATGTCTGCAGGAGTCTGAGAGAGCATTTTCACTTGTTGTATATGATTTTATTCAGCACTACAAGACTATCCTGAAGGCCTGTGGCATCTCATTGGCAGGATGTTTTGAGGACCCAAAGGTTTGCTAACTTCATCTCTTGTAATTCTTCTATTTCTGTAATGGCGCTCAACCTGATAAACTAAATATGAAAAGGAAGAGGATAACCTGAGAAGGAAAGTGTTGTGGGGAGGAGAGTTTTCTTATACTAATTGTTACTTTAGGTTCTTTGTCAAGATTCCATGTAGTTCTCACTTCTTACAACGACATAAGAATTAATGCAAGTTCAAGCATGCATTTCCAAGATGACTTGGACAGCCACAAGTTCATAGAGCTTCTCTTAGATGGAAAAAAGGTTGTTATCAAAGGAGTCTAATGTAGAGGTTGACATACACAGTCCCAGATACTGTATGTTCCCATAATAGTACTGTGCCTTAAATTGACAGATGACCTTCTGTTAAAAACTTCATAAAAACTAACTGTGAGAGAGACCTTGGAGTCCTAGTGGACAATCACTTGACCCTGAGCTAGCAGTATGTAGCAGCAGCCCAAAAAGCTAATACAATCCTGGGTTGTATAAACAGAGGCATAGAATCAAGGTCACATGAAGTATTAGTATCGCTTTTTAAAACTCTAGTAAGACCACACCTGGAGTACTGCAGCCAATTTTGGTCATCATATCACAAAAAAGTTGTTGAGAGTTTGGAAAAAATTCAGAGAAGAGCAACTAAGATGATTCAAAGCCTGGAGACTAAAACATTTGAAGAACAGCTGCAGGACTTGGGTTTGGCTAGTCTAAAGAAAAGAAGAAACTGGTGACATAGCAGCATTCCAGTATTTGAGGGGCTACCACAAAGAAGAGGGGGTCACGTTATTCACCAAAGCATCAGAGGGAGGACAAGAAACAATGGTTGGAAACTGATCAAAGAGAGAACCTGAAATTAAGGAGAAACTTCCTAACAGTGAGGACAATTAACCAGTGGAACAGCTTGCCTCCAGAAATCGTGGGCGCTCCATCACTGCAGATTTTTAAGAGGCTAGATAGTCACTTGTCTGAGATGGTATAGGTTCTCCTGCTTAAGTGGGGGGCTGGACTAGAAGAACTCCAAGGTCCCTTCCAGCTCTATTCTATTCATATGACATTAAAGAACAGGTGGAAAGAACCAATCTTTGTGGCAAGTCCACAAGGAAGCAATCTGTAAGGACCTACCTCCCAAGAAAGCAGAACTCTTGAAAAAAGCATTGTCTCAAAAGGAACTTTTATTAGGATAACAGGGAAAACAAGGCAAGATCTGAGGAAAAACCTGCACAAGCAGTATATTAAAAGCAACATCCATTACTCTTCCCCCAGGGTCCATTTGAATTCCAGCCAATCCAGAAGTGGCATAGTGTTTTGGTAACTGGCTCCATTGGCATGCTCTTCAAGGTCTCTCTTGCTTTCCTTCTGGCTCCAAGCTCAAAAGTCTCCTAGATAAGGGTGATGCATTCCTTCTCCTGGGGGAAGGGCATAGTGGCAAGACAGTACAAAATACCCCCAAAGTACCTCCCCTTCCAACAGAATGGCAGGCCCCAAAAAGTGGTTACAAAAGCAAGTAAACTATAAGAAGGGAAAAGAATACATTTCTTTGTGGACCTGACATACTCACTGAACTAGTCATTTCTTCGATTGACTAAACCACTCACTAAGGAAGATTAGGCTATCATAAACCAGTGCTTCCAACCCCCAACACTTGCAGATACTCCAGAAGGTTTACTGTGATCAGTGGTACCAAAGGCTGCCAAGAAATGTAAAAAGATCTCTCATCTAAGCTTGACAAATGTCATCACAAAAGCAACCAATGCAATTCCAAGCTTAAATCCACCTGGAGGAAGTGAGGTTGATTTTAACAGCAAATGGTTCTACAAAGTGATCAAAGCTGCCAGGCAGGCAATCTCCATGACCTGATATAAAGACATTCGTGCCCGACATCCTCAAAACCAGAATCCTTCCTCACAGGCAAGAGTCAGTACATACCCCTGCTTCCCCAGCCCTGGCTTTGAGACTTATGATGGATCTGTACCACAGGATGCAAGTCTCTTGAGAGGAGATATCCCTCCATCTAGGTCATAATAATTAATGTCCATTCTTCATGTTCATCTCCAACAGGTCATGGACTTACATGATCTTATTGAAAACAGACTTACCAGATGAGCCCACAGGATGTAGGTGTGAGGCTACTGGGGTGGAGGTGGAGATTGACATCAAACTGTCAATTTTTCTTCCCCTATAACAGTTTTGTGCCTTGCATTGTACCTCCTTCAGCCCATCACCACCAGAATATATTCACCTACTTCCCCACTACACAAACCTACCTTGCAATATGATACTCAGTTACTATTTAGGTATTTCACACAATTATCAGGCAATAGGGTCACTCACTGGCATCATTAAATATTAACTCATGAATAAATATTATTTAAAAGATGAATATTATGGTCTTCTATGATATTACTATAGCATAGAATAGCTGCTAAGTGCAAAGACCAGTAAAACAGAGTGACCATTGGAACCCATGCTTCTATTGAATTCTGGGAATCAGTAATCCTATAAATCTGGCTGTCATGGTTCCGGTAGATGAAACCCATCAAAAGAACTTCAAGGCAAGATTCTTCCTCAAAGAACATTTTAATCAGGAAACAAAGTGTGGGCACTACATCGTTGAACCCCAAAACTAAATTCCCTTCCCCCAGATACAAAGTAACAAAGTGCAATTCCCACCCCCAATGAGCTGTCATAAATCACATTCTTCAATTAGCCTAAAATGCAGGCTTTCTCCCCAGCTCCTCAGCCCACCAAAATGTTATCAGCTCGTCCTTGGGTTCCCACAAAGCAGAGTTATTATGGCTAGCTGAGCTCCAGCTTTCATCCCACCCACCCCCCTTCTGCACCTGATTTCTAAATACCAGAAAAAGCATGTTAAAGGAAAAGAGAAAATTGCTGCATTTTCATCAGTTGTCAGAGTGGGAACATCCAATGTTTACAGCGTTGACACTGGCTTCTGAAGTGGGATATAGATATGTCAACAACATATTTGCATTTTGCAAACTTGACTATGTTGCGTTTTTGTGAAAAATGCTTTTTCCATATAATTTTGTGAATGCTGAACATATTTTTCTTACTCTAGGTAGCATGCTGGTTAATTGACCCTGGATCAAAAGAAGATTCCATTCACAGTATGGTTGCCAATTTCCTTCCTCAGGACTTATTCTTGCTAGATAACATTGGAGCAAGCCAGGGAAATCAGAGCCTGGGTCTCAGTGCCAGTGCAGATCAGTCTGGACGTTACAGGGCATCTGTAGAGTCTGTTCTTGTCTTCCATATTATAGAAGAACTCCATATTATACTACATAAGGATAACTTGCAAGGTAAAAAGGCTATAGGGCTGACATCATTTAACGAAAGGCACTAAATGATTAAAATTCATCCTGAGCTTCAAAATAATACATGTAAATTTTGCAGATTGTTGTGTCACAATATTATATTTTGCTATCATAAAGGTTTCAGACAATCATGATTTTGCATCGGAACACTATAAGCATGAACCGAAAATGAAAAGAGTTAATTGCATAGCAGTTAAACTCAAATGTTCTTTATCGTTTGTAGATTTAGACCTTTTTTATTTATTAATTAGCTTTTAACTTTCTACTTTATTTCTTGATTACTTTTTTTTTTTTGAGAATTTTTAATAATGTGTTAGCATTCCAGTGTTTGGAGCATATGTTCATCATCCTGCATTGTACGCATGCTCTGCAGAATACATTATTGAGGGTAAGTTGATAGGTGATGAGGGGGCAGGGTGAAAATCGGAGCAAATAGTAGCTTTCATTCAAATGTCCTAAAATGCTAGCCGTAATATATTTTGCAGAATGGAACTAAAATTATGTTTTGCTTCGTTTGTCATTATTATAGATATTTTTCAGAAAGTGGAGATGCCAAATCAGTATTGCTTGGCCTTGCTGGAACTCAATGGCATAGGTTTTAGCACAGTAGAATGTGAGGCCCAGAAACATGTTATGGAAGCAAAATTGAATGAGATTGAGAATCGGATATACCAGCTGGCAGGTCACAGTTTCTCCTTGACCTGTCCAGATGATGTTGCTGAGGTATTGTGATGAATTTACATGAATAGATTATGTTTTGATCCAGACATCATCAATGAAATTTTGATTGGAAGAAGTTTGTTGCCTCTGTTCAACCAGTAAAGTTCTAATTGCTTCTGAAGAAAATGTTTCTCAATGTTAGTTTTAAAATTACTTTTAAAATGTTTGCTCGTATTTTTCTATCAATTTTGCACTATATAAAGTAGAACAGATATTGTCTGAAACCACAGCTTGTAGCAACTATTTAATAAAACACTGCATGGAATGCTTCTAATTGCTTATAATTTCTTATGACTATAAGCTTAATTTCTTGGCCCAAAATTTATTTATTGTTGGTATGGGCCCATTCCTTTGTGCCTCTTAATTCATACCATAGACTATATCATTAAAAAAATGTAAGCATTCCAACTAGAAGAATTCATTCAATTCCACACACATTCGCACTGATGTTACCTAGTTGGGTAATGAAATATCTGCAAGCAAACAATAAAGCTCATGGAGCACTAAGAAATTCACAGTTCAACCCTGAGCTATAAATATTCTCTTCTATTGGAAAGTTCATTCATTTATAGTATGTAATCCTAGATGAATATTTAAATAATGAATCTAGTAAGCATCGTTCAATGATGTTTGTTGTTTTTATATGATTGTTGTTTGCTGCTCAGAGTTGCCTTCAGTGATATGGTTTGACTATACAAATTTGTTAAATTTTAAAAAGCAGATTCATCTATATCCATGGTGGCGAACCTATGGCACGCGTGTCACAGATGGCACGCAGAGCCGTCCCTGTGGGCATGCACACCATCGCCCCAGAGGGAGGTGGGGCCAAGCTGCTCCCCTCCACCTCTCCTACACTCTCGCTATCTTTCTCTCTGCACTGGGAGTCAGGGAGCAGCTGCAAGAGCTGGGCAGATCCAGGCTGAATGGTGGAGCTGCCAGCACGAGTCCAGATATGCCTCCAGAATGATTTTTCAGTGCCCCAGTGGCCCGATCTGGGCTTTGGAGGCCTGGGAAAGACCTCTGCCACCCGAATCTATGGCTGCAGAGCGATTTCGCCCCCCCCCCACGGCCGATTCGGGTGGCAGAGGCATTTTTTAAGCATCTGGATCCATGACCACCGTAGCCACACCCACCCGGCACGCTACGCCCACCCGGCACCCAGTGATACATCAGTGGGTTTTGGGTTGCAGTTTGAGCACTCGATCTCTAAAAGGTTTGCCACTATTGATCTATATATTCTTGTGGGGGGAAGGGCAGATGGAATCAGAAATATCTTCAGTTTACCTTGGTTCACGTCTCAATTAGTACATCTGCCACTACAGAGCACATTTCTCATTTGCTGATTTATTTCATCGCTCTGTTTTACTGTCATATTCAGAGACTCAGTGTCCTTTTATTTTGTAGCTTAACACAGCCATAATTTTGGTCTGGTGTCATAGTGTTCCCAAAACGCTTTTTGCTATCTGAGCTATTTTTTTGCTTATTTTTTAAAATTCATATTCTGCATTTTAAAAATAGTGATGCAGTTAATAATTAAAATTAAAACTCCTCTACAGCAGGGGTCTCCAACCCCTGGTCTGTGGACCAGTACTGGGCTGCGGCATGCCAGCATCCAGTCCGCACAAACAAGCAAAGCCCCATCTGCGGGATGCAGGCAGCACACAAAACCACGCCCCCTCAGGTTCACGGAAAAAACAGATTGTAATTCTGTCTCTTGATTTTTGAAGGGTCATGGAAGGATACCAGGTAACATTCTGATATATCCAGGAAAAGTGTGTGTGTGTGTTGAATTTTTTTTTACACAGTTTTGGGGATATTTAAATGATAGGCAAATCACTCAATTTCTATCTACAACTTCCCCAAGTAGCTTGAATATTTGCATAGGACAAATATGTAAAAGAAAAATAGAAAAAGAACAAAGAAAAAAAGGTATTAAAAACAGATACAGTGAGAAAGAAAAAAAGAAGCAGCTTTGATCTTCTTTACAGCAGTTACAAATTTAAATCATGTTAATAATTTCTCCCATTTTAGAACTATATTGTATACCTTTGTTGCATATTCAACTGCTTTTAATCAGGAAATCCAGAATTTACCCGTTCATTTTTATCCATTTTTCCAAAAATTCCGTAAAAGGTTTCCAGTCCTTTATAAAAGTACTTATGCCAAAGAAGATAAAAATCTTAGTGCTGAAATTCAGCTATTTTTGATGGCATGATCTTAGCATGTGTGAAGCTTACATGGACCCCTTCCCAAAGTTAATCTAAGTTAAAGAGATTCATCTTAGCATGTTTTAGCATTGTTTATTGTAGAATTAAAACAGATTTACAATAATGCCTAACTAGAACTTTTAGTAAAATTAAGAAAGCAACTCATCATTAATTTTTGTATTATATCTCTTTGCATTTCAATGATGATAATCTATTTAAACCTGAAAATGCAATTCAGTTTTAGATAAAACCTAAGCACTATGATGGTGCAATTATAAGTTTTAATCAGAACATTTGCATCATGTTAATAATTAAAATATAAAACATATTCAAATTTCATTTTTTGTGTGATTTCACACTTTAGTTATTTGTTCCAAACATTTAAAATTGATGTTTTGTCATTAACAGGATTTGTTGGGAACCTGCATCCCAATATAATTTCACTTAATATATAATAACCATAGTCTCACTTTTGGTGTGGGGGGGGGCAGAGGGAGAGACCCAAAGGCCTTCACAGCTGGTGAAGGGCTGAACAAGAACTAAGAAGAGTTCTGAGTGTTCAAGACCACCCTTAACCATGGAAATTCCTGGATGACTTTGGACAGAGCAGAAAACCATCTAGTCTACTCAGAAGTTGTTTAAAAGGATATTAAAACTGGATTTTTATTAGGCATTCTGCTTTCTGCTCATTAAGGGATAAGATATAAACATGTTTTGAAAAGTTGTGTTGCGCATTAAGACAAGATGCAATTGCATGATGCTATGTTCTGTTTCAGGTATTATTTCTGGAGCAAAAGTTGCCGTCAGATGGAGAACTAAAAATGCAAAAAGGCAAGAAAGTGTTGGGTTGTACTAGAAAAGCAACAACAAATAAGAATCGAGCCAGACTGAGTAAACAGTTCAGTACAACAAAGGTATAGTTTTTATGTGATGTAACTGTGGAATGTCCATTTTATCCCCAAAGAAATTTCTGCTTTGTTAATAATTTCCAATTTACATAATCATTCATCAGCCAGAGTTTTTGAAAGATCAGGTTCTTCAAAATCATCTGGAAGAATTCTGTTTCTTTATAGAAGAACAGTCCTTAACAGCTTATTTCTATAAGCAATCCAATTGTCTATTAAAATTCTAATGGATTACAGTAATACCCTCCTACCTTTTCGTCAGGGCCTAAAGATGGGCTGTGCCAATCGGCTTGGGGCCTCAGTGGGGGATCAGCACGATGGAGATGATTAATTGAGTAATAACAGATCCCACCTGCTCCCCCGCCTTCCCCCATGTGTTTTTGGTTTTAATGTTTGTTTTTAACTTTTTAGGTTTTATGTAACTGTAAGCCGCCCAGAGTTATCCTATGGTAAATTGTATAAATGTATAAATAAATAAACAAACAAACAAATAAATTAGGTGCTTGATTCATCCTTTACTTTAAACTTAGACGTCTTATATGTAAATATTCTCAATCATCAATGCTTTTCACACTTTCCTATCATTATCCTCAAATTTAATTTAGCAGTAGTCTGTTCCTGTTACATGAAATGGTTTTTTTCTTTTCAGTAAGCATTTCACATAAATATTAAGAGAATTGCCAGTTCCTTTGGTATTTTCTATACTTGGCTTGCAAAAGGGAGACCTTATGATGACACAGATTTCAGAATTGACTTCTTCAGAATTTCCTCTAGAATCTATTTGCCATGGAGGATACCACAGACACATGTGACATGGAAAAGATTTATTATATTTCTAGAATATGTTGAAAGTTCCCTCAATGAACAGACGACAGAGTGTCAAAGCATTCTGCAGAGGGGATAGGGAATAATGATCCTCCATGAGAGAAAAGTATACAAAAGTTTACAAAGATGGTCAGGTGACTGGGAGGCTAAAACATATAAGGAAAGGTTGCTGGAATTGGGTATGTCTAATTTAATGAAGAGAAGGACGAGGGGGGGACATGATAGCAGTGTTCCAATATCTCAGGGGCTGCCACATAGAAGAGGGAATCAAGCTATTCTCCAAAGCGCCTGAAGGCAGGACAAGAAGCAACAGATGGAAACTAACCAAAGAGAAGCAACCTAGAACTAAGGAGAAATTTTGTGACAGTTAGAACAATTAATCAGTGGAATAACCTGCTTCCCGAAGTTGTGAATGCTCCAACACTGAAAATTTTTAAGAAGAGATTGGACAGCCATTTGTCTGAAACAGTATAAGATTTCCTGTCTGAGCAGGGGGTTGGACTAGATGACCTCCAAGGTCCCTTCCAACTTTTTTTATTGTTGTTGTTACTACTACTTGCTAATCAAGAAAGGCATTTTAGCAATAAATAAAATGACAAAACTTTAATTTTGACTACTAGTTTTATTCAGTACAATTAAAGAATATGTATTTGCTCAAGCTATCTGGTAATTTAGAAAGATAGTATTCTAATGATTGTCCCAAGTAAATGGTAGTGAAATCTTCAAAACTTGTAAACAGAAAAATATTTAATTGGTTTGTCTTATTATTTATTTCTATAGGAGGTTTTAGAAAAATTGAAGAAATTGCACCCTTTACCTGGCCTGATTTTAGAATGGAGAAAAATCACTAATGCAATAACTAAAGTGATATTTCCACTACAGAGGGAGAAACTTTTCAACCCTGTCCTAGGAATGGAAAGAATCTATCCTGTTTCTCAGTTTCAAAGTGCTACAGGTAGCAAGTTATTATCCTAGCAAATTTAATAATTATTTGCAGACTATGCACCCCCCACTTTGGTTGCTGAAGACTGATAGTGTGGTTTCCTTTCATTTTGAGGCAAGAAATATTTGCAAGTGTATGAAATGTTGAATGTTTTCTAAAATAAGCATACAAAAGTCTTACACTACAAAACCTATCACAGTGGTGGCGAACCTATGGCACGCATGCCAGAGGCAGCACTCAGAGCACTCTCTGTGGGCACGTACGTCATGCCCTGGAGATGGCAACCATCCCTCTTCAACCAGCTGCCTGCTAACTTGCTGAGGTCCCACATGGCCGGATGTATCCTAGCACTCTAGCGTTCACTGGCCTCTATGTGCAGGGGCCGATGATGTCAGGCAGCAGCTGCCCCGGCCCCTGCCTCACCTTGCCCTGTGACAATGGCACCCCTGCCCTGCCTGACTACCACAGCCACGTCCACCCAGTGGGCCACACCAACCTGGCACCCGGCGATAAATAAGTGGGTTTTGGGTTGCAGTTTGGGCACTCGGTTTCTAAAAGGTTTGCCATCACTGACCTATCACCTCTTGCCCTCAAAGTTTTAACGAAATCTCCTTGTACCATGCAAGCCACATATCCATCACAAACTGACTTTTTTATGATTCTATGTCTGACTCAATCATGACACCATCTTCCAAGCATACATTTATCTTTGCTCTTTTTGTAGGCCGCATAAGCTTCAGAGAACCCAATATACAGAATGTACCTAAAGACTTTGAGATTGAAATGCCAACAATGGTTGAAGAGAGCCCACCTTTTCAGAAACAACACAGTATTTTAAGAAGCAGGTAAAAATATAGTAAATTATTTTTGCTTTTTAAAATTTTAGTTTCAGTTCTTAGATTTTTGGGGTCACATTTCTGAAAAGACATGAACTGTCACACTTACCATGACATTAGATACACATTCTGCTTGTATTTATTGATTACTATACTTATATCTCACCTTTTTATTAGAAACTCACCTTAGCTCATATGATAAATACAGCTGAGACATAGCAACTTGTCTAAAGGAGCTAAAAATAGGCTAGAATTAGCATTGTGGGAAACAGTGGAAGATCAAAAGATGCAGAAATATTTCAAATTTTAAGACCAGTAACAGACTAAAAGATGGATTGGTTTGATTGACTAACTAATGTAAAATGGTTTCTGTAGTCTAGAAAAGAAGAACTGGAGTAGCAGTGGTAGTGAGAGTCAGAAATCCAAAAATGCTGGCAGTATGAATAGATGCTCTTCACTGCCTTTTCAACAGGTTTAGTCACTAGGGATACAGAAGAGGAAACAACCAATTACTGGTTGAAATTCAGATGGATCTGAATGAGTTGGAAGGCAGTTAAGAAGTGTGTTACTGAAGCCCAGTAGATAAAGGCCTCTGGGAAGGGATGACACCAACCCTCCAGTTGAGACTGTGACTTCATGAGCCAGAAAAGAAGGCTTGCAAGTACTATTTGCTTACCTCTATTTTGGATGCTCCCCTCCCCCTGAAAATCAGCTTGAGGAAAGCCCTGGCTAATAAACCCATCTATAATTCCTTAAAAAAAAATCCCTCTAAATTTGGGGAGGCACTCATTTAATCTATTAAATCTCAACACTAAAGAAAATTGGGGTGAAAATTTGTACTTCATCCATCCAGAGCAGGGGTGTCAAACTGCCAGCGCACAGGCCGGTTTCATCATACTGAAGCTGCGCCCACCCCATTGCCGGCAATGCAAAAAGTCATGATACATCACAGCATATCATGCGAGGTGGCGAGTTTGACACCCGTGACCCAGATAAATGATACAATATGCTCCATAGGGCTATGGCTCTCAGGGAAGACACAAACTGAAAAGATTGGCCACTGCTGATTTGAACATTAATGGCAGTAAGCAGCAAGTATATTTTGCATTTATTCGCCACACATTAATTTAATTGTTGAATTGTATAGAAATAAGCAATAAGCCAAGTTTTAATTTAAAAACATATTTTATAGATATGGAAAACATTCTGTGTTACCATGTGGAACTAAGATTCTAACTGAAGAAATATCAAACAGGAAGAAAATACTATTTTCTGTTAGCATGAGACATGCCTTTGTACCATTTCCAGGTAATGCCTTAAAATTATTTTGACTTCATTTGCACTTAATGACCACACATGATTTGCTTAGCAACAACAATTGCCATCTGCTTGAATCACTGAACCTCTTTCTGGTCCATTCAGATTAATTTACATATTATTTTCAAATACATCCTGTCTTCCTTGAAAACTTTCACTCTCTGTCAGACTTTAACATTTCCCTTCAACATTAGAAAAGAAGAAACATAATTTTGGTGGCAATCACATTATTTTGTTTTTGTACATTCATAAAAAACTTGCATTCGTCCATAATTTTAATAAAATTTCAATGCTTAGAATTCTACAACCGACATCCTATCAAGCATTTTTCTATAAAATAGATGCCCATTCTTTTTATCAAAAATGTTCTAGGCCAGCTAAGTGAGTTTGGACAAGTCATTAGATATGTTTGCTACCTTAAATTATAAATATACAAAAAGCAAGATAAAAATCTAACAATAATAATATAATCAAAACATGGGCTGCAGTCCTTAAGTCACTATGGTCTTATTGTAACTCTGAATCATGTGGACAGCCATTTTTTTTTTTCAGAAACACGGTGATAGGTTTTTTAGAAACTTCATCATTCATTATCTCTTACCTGCAAATGGTGTTGGTATTGTTTATCCATTTTCTAATGATCAGTTCACCCAATAAATTTTTGTACTCTTAATAATAATAGAACGGTATAAAAATTTATCAGTAATAAAATGAAAATTTTAGTATTAATGACATTTTATTATTACTTATATTTAATATATTAGTGCCTCTGCCACGTGTTGATGTTTCAGAGTATAAATTTTTGGATTAATAAGATAATACATGTAGGAGTCTTTTTTGAAATATATATTTACTAAAAAAAATTCTTAGTATAAAATAAAAATAAAGACAATGGAAAAAAGGGAAAGGAAAGGAGAAAGACGGGGTAGAATAAGGGGAGGAGAAATAAAACATAAAACAAAAAGCAGTGACTTCTAACTTTTTCAATAAGAAACATAATGAAGTTATAATATCAGCTTTTTTAGTTATACCACATACTGTTGTAATTATTAGCCATTTCTGTAGCAATTACCCACTTAATTGTCAAAATACAAAGTCAACATTTTATTTTTGTCTATTTCACACAGAAAGTCCAAAAGTAGTTTCCAAGTTACCACAAAACTGTTTTCAATCTTGTCCCTAATTAGCGCAGTCAATGTCTCCATCTCTACCAATTCCCTCATCTTTTCAATCCATTTTTCCATTGTAGTTGAAACTTCTTTCCATTTCTGGATGTATAAAATTCTTGCAGCTATCAATATGTGTATTAACAGTGTTCTATTTTTCCCCAATACCTTTATCTAATTAGTCTGAAAAGAAAAAAAATCCAGTTTCCATTGTAAGTCCATTTTAAAAAATTTCTGAATTAAACCACGGATTTGCACCCAATATTTCTTTGCCTTGTCACATGTATATGATAAAAAGTACTCTCCTTACACTTACATTGCAACAAGTATTTGAAACACCCTTATACATCTTTGCTGGTTTATTTGGTATTAAATACCACCAGTACATCATTTTATAGAAATTCTCTTTAAGATTATAATTCAATAAGAATTATAGTTCTTTAACCCAGCAGTCCCCAACCTTTCCGACTTGATAGATCGGCGGGGGGGAGGGGGGAGAGGGAATGGTTCTGTATGAGTGGTGGGCACGCACCCCCTCCGCTCGCACAAATGGAGCTTTGCCTGGTTATGTGTGCCTGCCGCTCATAGAAGTGGAGCTGCACCCGCGGTCTTCCCCACTCTTTGTGTGGCTTGGTTCCAAGTAAGCCATGGCCCAAGGGCTGGGGACCCCTCGCTTTAAGCCACATATTTTCCTATTGGTCTAGTTTTGTATTATAACCAGAATTTCTTTTTCTGATTCAGAATTTCTGAATCAGACTATGTTTAACATAGTCATTTTGGCTATAAGACGTTCATCATTAGTACAGACTATCATTTCAAGTTTATTTTTAGCAGCTTCAAAATGACGATTTTTGTCATCCAAAGTAAATCTTTCTTTCAATTGTAGATAGGTGAACGAATAACATGTATGGCTTTCTAGTTCCAAATCAGCACATTTTAAGAGTTGTATGTACTTGGTATTTTCCTTACTTAGGATACCTATACATAAACAACTGTCATACTTTGGAAAAAGCCAGATTTCACATCTTTCTTCTTTACTACCCTCTACATAGAACACTGCTGGGGAAGAGTTATAATTTAGCTTTTTGTATGTGTGCACAGAGACTTCATTCTGGGCAAAAAATGTAAAGATATGATACTTAACCTTTTCTGAATTGTATTTTACTGGATTATAACAATATATCTAATATGATCTACATCATGGGATAAACCTGTTGAAACTGAAATAGGAACTTACACATATCCATGTATCTTTCACTTGAAAGATTAGTAAGGGAGAGAAAGAAGCCCTTATTTGTGATTTCATGGAAATCAGTTAATTTAGAAATTGTTTTTCATGATTGACTATAGGTGGCTTGATCTTGGCTGCTGATTACTCTCAGCTTGAGTTAAGAATCCTTGCACATTTTTGTTCTGATGATCGGCTACTCCGGGCCTTTGGTAACAACGTTGATGTCTTTAGAAGCATTGCAGCTGAGTGGAAGAACATTAACCCTGAAGAGGTTGGGAATGATTTAAGGCAACAAGCTAAGCAGGTAGTTTTAAAAATGTATATCTTTCCTGAGATATCAATTTAGTTGAACAATTTTTTTACCTTTCTCTATGCCTGTGATTAAATATCTAATATTTAATCAGGTATATAATATAAATGTTATTTCATGTTTGGTGTATATGAAATTTCTAATAAGTTGAATACTAAGAGTAGCACAATTGAAAATTAAGCATCATAGTATTCCATTAAATATTTAATGTAATTAAAAAACAGATTTACTGCAAAATAGAACTGTAAAGTAGACATTTTACTTTGGCTACTAAGCTGGGAGCATATTTCATATACCAGAACACCACTGTTACGTTTTATTACTGGGTGGATCTGTAATATTTTTCAAGATCATGTTTAGAAAATCTAGGAAACCTATCCCATTAAGAATTGCCTAATTCCTAATGCAGATAATCCTTGACTATCATTCATTCAGCGACAATTCAAAGTTATGGTGTCCCTGAATAAAGGACTTATGACTGAGATTGCAGTGCCCCCACTGTCATACAATCAAAATTTGAGTGTTTGGCAACTCACCTGCACTTATAACCACAGGAGCATTTCAACTCCTCACCCAATCTCTGGCCTTTTGGCTACCAGGCCATGGCCTGTTTCAAATCAGGCCCCATTGGTGGTGGGCAAGAGTGCGTGAAGCTCTACTTGCGCAAGCAGAGGGCGCTTGAGTGGTGCTTGTGCTCGTTCATGAAGCTCCACTCACGAATGCAGAGGGCGCTTGTGTGCAAAACTCCATTCATGTGAATGAAGCTTCATGTGTGAGCACAAGAACCCTCTACGCAAGCTCTCTCTGCTCACACAAGTGGAGCTTCATGAACGCACGTGCCCGCCCCGAGCGTAAGTGCAGCTTTGCTCATGAGCACAAGCACCTCCGCGCACATGCAAAGCTCCATTTGTGAAAGTGGAAGGTGCATGCGTCCATTGCTCACCCCAATGGAGCTGTGCGTGCATGCACATGCTACTCACACACACATCCCTGCACCAGGCCAAGCAGCCAAGGTGAAAAGGTTTGGGATTTCTGGGCTACCGTGCACAGTAGAAGTGGTAGCACTGGGGCTAAAAAAAGAGGTTTTCCAAAACCTCAGAGAAGGCCACGGCTGGCTTTTTTTTTTTTTTTTTTTCAAATTGTACACGGCCTTCTCACAATGCTTTGGAAGGCTTCTGAGGCCTTCTGAAGCTTGGCAAGAAGGTTCACAGGATTTGGAGAACAATGCATATGGCCTGAAGAAGGCCTGGAGCAGCCAGCAGCTGCCTTGCATAGGGCCAAATTGGGGGCAGCTCAGCAGCAGCAGGAAAAGAAGACAACAAAAGTCAACTGAGGAGGTAGAGTGGCTAGGACTGGGTTGGGGCAGCTAAGGATTCTTGGGGTGCTGCGGCTTTGCATCATGCTGCTGGAGTTTCCTGAGGCACTGCTGTGGCTTTGCACTGTGCTACTGGAGTGGCTGAACTTCCTGGGGCACTATGGCTTTGTGCTGTGCTGCTGGAGCTTCCTAGGCTCCTGCATCTTTGTGTCAAGCAATTGGGGTGATAAGCTTTGCACCGCACTGCTGGTGCAAAGGGTGGCTGAGTCTTTGCTGCGGCTCAGGGATTTCTTGCAGCCCTAGAACTGTAGCATTGCCAAGAAGCCTCTAAGCCACAGCATGGCAGAGAGCCCCAGGGTTCTGGAGCCGCTTGCCACCATAAGGCTAGGAGGGACTAAACCTGGAATGGCTTGGATTGGGATGGGCCATTGGCTATGAACTGATGGAATTCAGTAAACAACAGTAAAAGTGAGTGCCAGGATTGCTGTTGCTAAGCAATGCAGTCACATGATGATGTTTTACCATCACATTGCTTAGTGGTCAAAATTCTGTTCCCAATTGTGGTTATAACCAGTACCTTTCTCTTTCCTTTCATCTTTTTCTTGTTTACTTTTCTTATCTCTTCTGTCTCCTCAGCTGGCAAAGTCCTTCTTTTCCTTAAATAGAAAAGATCTTGCTTGCTGGCTGATCATCTTTCTCAGTCACTGAGGGCAGAGAGATCTTTATGGCAGGGTGGTAGATCCAACTCTTCTCTTTCCCTTGGGCATTTCCAGTTTCCCTGCTTGCCTTCCTTCACCACGTTCCACTGGTTGAAAAGCCTGATGTCGTGGAACCTATTAGAACAGCTGGGAATCCTGGAGTTTGCTCGTGTGAGAAACAACAGGCTGCCAGTTGTGTGGGCTGAGCAACAAAGCCTCACTGTTGCTGGGAGAACTGCTGAGTCAGGTCAAGGGCAGCCATAGTTGGACTATTAGCCTACTGCTCCTCTTCCTGGAGTCTTTTCAAGGCCTGGCTTCTGTGTGTGTGGCACTTAGTGCTCTGTCCTGAATTTGCATCATCCTCTGCAGTGTTCCTATATATTTCAATAATCCTAAAATAGTCCAATAAATGCCCGGTGAGATTGGTCTGAAAATTTGCAGAAAACTAGACTAGAGCTGAAGATGTCAGTTGTACAATTAGGGTAAGATTATAACGTGAATCATGGATTCAGTTTCACTGTGTGGACAAATGCAAAGGAAAGATTGATAAAGGATATTATAGTAATTTCCCTTTATTCCCAGATGGGCAAATATAAATGCCCTATATTGAATACAATGTATATTATAAAAATAACTGGGTTTTGACCATAGTCAAAAGGTTTGTTAGGTATTTATCATATGTAGCAAGAGTGTAAAGTTTAGAAGTTTCAAAATCTTTAGATGAGGCTGACAGAAGGCAGAAGAAATGAAGAGGGAAAAATGTAAATAATATTTGAGTCTTACAATTAATTAGATTCCAAAATAGGATGTGTGGATTGAGGTTGTAAATGCCAAGAATGTTTGACAAGTTGTCTCAGTTCTATCTCATATATTTCTTGGCATAAGAGTAGGATATAAATTAAATAAATGAACACCACATCAAAAGGAGTGCTTCTACATATGTAAGTCCCCAAGGAGGCAACGTAGGCATTTTTCTGCTTCTCTTCTAATTACTGTACTGGGAGGATTTATAGAAAACACTGTAGTCTTCTGCAGCTTTAATAAGTAGTTTTCCTCTCTTCTGTCTTTGGCAGTTGTGTTTCTGCTTCTATTCTCTTAAAATGTCAACATAATGTTGTATGCTGCCCAAAATCTTTTGTTTGTGAGATGAGTGGCTATATAAATTGGTTTAATAAATAAGCAAATAAATAAATAATCACCCTTCTCTACTTTTCTGAATCGGTATTCTTTTTTTTCTGTCATATGAAACTAAACTTTTTAATTTTAGTACTGTTTTATAAAATTCTAGTAAGACCATACCTGGAATACTGCAGCCAATTTTGATCACCATATTACAAAAAAGATGTTGAGAGTTTGGAAAAAATTCAGAAAGGAGCAACTAAGATGAGGAGGCTAAAACATATGAAGAATGGCTGCGGGACTTGGGCTTGGCTAGTCTAAAGAAAAGAAGAAATAGGGGAGACATGATAGCAGTGTTCCAGGCTGCCACAAGACAGAGGGGGTCAGGTTGTTCACAAGAGCACCAGAGGGAAGGATGAGAAACAATGGTTGGAAACTGGTCAAAGAGAGAAGCAACCTGGGATTAAGGAGAAACTTCCTGACAATGAGGACAATCAACCAGTGGAACAGCTTACCCCCAGAAATCGTGAGGGCTCCATCACTGGAAATTTTTAAGAAGAGACTATACAATCACCTGTCTGGGGTGGTATAGGTTCTCCTGCTTGAGCAGGGGGCTGGACTAGAAGACCTCCAAAGTCCCTTCCAGTTCTATTCTATTCAATTGTGAACTCACAGTTTAGTGAACCAGCCATCACCCTAGATTATAACCTCAATTTGTGGCAGGAAAATTATTCTCCATCAGCCATTTTGCTTTCCTTCAATCTTTTGATACAGTTAGAAGTAAACATTATGAAGGAACTCAGTTGGTAGGAACTTGTCTTCCCTTTTCAAAGACTTTTAAAATATTTTTAAGTAAAGCAGGGTTAAATAACAATTCACGGTATGGTGCCCTCAAAATTACAAAGCTGAACAAACCTATTGTTCAGCAAGTATAATCTAATATTTCAAATGAAGTAGCAGTTTTGTGCCAATAAAATGTCTTATTCTTGAATCTTTTTGATTATTCACTAGTAAATTAGAACGTTATCTTTTTTCTAGATTTGCTATGGAATAATCTATGGAATTGGAGCTAAATCCTTAGGGGAGCAGATGGGTGTTCAAGAAACTGATGCTTTGTGCTTCATTGAGTCCTTCAAATCCAGATATCCAGGTAAAGATTGCCGGGATCTATTGTTCTTGGTATCCTTGTTCATTGATTTACTAAGTGCAAGGCTGGTTCAATGATAGCCCTCACTTTATTGGGACTGGAATTTCTATTGGTAAGTGATGCAACAGGGTAGATTATATATACTGATGAAGCTGTCTTTCCTGATATCTGTTTGTGTATGTGCGTATTAGAGAAAGAGAGAATGAAAATCTGAAAGTGTTAATAAATAAAACTGCATTGTGAAACTCCAAACTGTTTGGTTCACAGATTTCCTAGGTAGTTCAAGCATAAGAGTTTGATGCATTTCTGGGGGGGGAGGGAATCCCTCAGCCTGAAATTCATTTATGCATGTGTGAATGAACTAACGATAGGACACTTTTTATGGAAGAGTGGAAACACCCCTTGCCTCTTGCCAGGGCATTGTTTCCCATGTTCTGGAGACAGCGGCTACAGTGTTTTTTGAAAGATCAGCGTATGGAAACAGTAAGAGTGTGATAGTGCCCTTTTTCTAGTAATAATAGTAAGGAAACGTAAGACCTAAGCATGAAGCACTGTAATGTAAGATATGCCTTAGATCTATTAAGTCTGAGTGTTGAATAACAGTTGCTAAGATAAGGAAGTTGATATTGTTAATAAAAATTAGCAGTGTATGTGTGGACTCAACCAGGGATTTATATGTGATGAACTGATAGCTGACACCAGAAATGAGATAATATTATTTCATGTTTTTGTAGGTATTCAGAAATTCCTGAAAGAGACAGCAAAGACGTGCACCCAGGATGGGTTTGTGCAGACAATCATGGGAAGGCGTAGATACCTTCCAGCAATTAAGGAAACAAATCCTTACAAGAAGGCTCAGGTATAGTGAGAGAAACATTTTGTTAAACCGTTTCATCTCTTTAAGGAAATAAAATGCATACAGCCATGCTGTATTCCACCTTCTTTGTGGTACTATTCTTGTTATCTGGATACTTATGTGTGATCTTACCATTAACTTTCAAACATTGTTCGTTGTATTTCTAATTTCTTCTCCCTGTTGACCTGTCATTGCCGTGATCAAATTGCAGCAACATAAACCATTTCTACCTACTCAGGATCCACATCTTGATCTATTTTGTAGCTTCCTTGCAACTCACATTGATTTCAGTGAAGTCCAGGGGTATCAATAGTAATTCTCAGCTCTCATTCTTCTGTAGATATCTAGAAGTAACTCCCCTTGTTTCTAGTGCTCAGTCTTGTGATTTATTTCAGCACATCCCCTCCAAAATGAAGCATGTAAACACCAAAATGAAAAACCTGGTGGCTTTACATTTTCTTGGAGAGAATCGCAATCCTAGATATGTCAGTTGTCTAATTCTTATATGCCGAAGCAGGGTCTTCCAGTTAACAATTGTGAGCTATTTGTTTTTTATTCAAAATCAGTGCAGGCTTCTGATTCTAATATATTGTATTTATTTCTTGCTCAGTTTAGCAACAACTTTGTTTTCGATGCACACTTAAAAAAACCATCTTCCCAACTTTGAGTTTTAAAATTATTAAAATGGCCCTGCCATGCTGTATGAAAAAGTTGAAGTACAGAGTATATCATTTTTAAATAGCCAGGATTAAAACTGTAAAAGTTCAGTCTGAGGGGCAGGAAGATTTGCATGTATGGATTTTAATGCCAACTGTATGTATTGATTTGTATGATTTGAATTGTCTTTAATGTGAGCTTATCAGAACATTTTTTAAAAACTCATATTAAATTGCATGCTTACATGCAATGCTGCAGGTCTCTCTAGTAAAAGTACCACATACAGTTTAGTTGTGTTGCTTTCCTACAGAACTGTTTACTTCTTTTAACTGCCAAACAACTATTTCAAACTATTTCTGCAAAACTATTTCTTCATTGTTCTTTCTCTTTTTTAGTTTAAGATTCCATCCTTATTTGTTTGTTTGTTTGCTTGCTTGATTATTATACTTGTAACTTATCTAATATTGTAGGTATGGTTCTTTAGATTTTTCTGTACTACAGAACACAGAAATGCTGCAGTACTATTATTATTTCAGGCTGTTGTTATAAAGAAAGAGACACAACAGAGAGAAAGAGAGAGAATGTTCCCAGAATAAAATTAGCATTCTCAGTTGAATATAGATTCTATTGCCTATTTATAGCAATTAATTTGTTTGTACTTCTGCACTGTGATTTTCATAAACTTTAGGCAGAGAGGCAAGCTGTAAACACTGTTATCCAGGGCTCTGCTGCAGATATTGTCAAGACAGCTACAGTGAATATACAGACACAGCTGGAAGCTTTACCTTCAGCAGTAAAATCTTTTGGACATTTGGAGAACTCATTCCCCAAAATATTGTCAGGTCAGTGTTTTTTTTCTTCCTCTGTCTTTATTTTTTATATTTGGTATTAAATGTTCTAAATTTTAAAACTAAGGGAAACATCTACTTTCGTGTAAGAAAGATATAAAATGTTTGCTTCTTTTTCTGAGCTTTTGCCATATATGCACCTGACCAGGTTTTGTTTTTAGAACACTAAATATTCCAAGCAGGTATTTCCATATGGCGAGTCGGCTTTCTTGGGTTCTGTATCAGTTAAAATCAATGCTCAATTACATTTTCATTTACAGTGTAAATAAAAAATATACTCAAGTAAGGATAATATTCTAAGGCTGTTTCACGAAAGAAAACTAGTCAAGCCTTCTGCTACTTTTTAGACAACTGCATTAGAATATCACAACTTTAACAAGTAAGATTTCGGGGAAACCATGGGTCATCAAGCTGACCCATTTGGCCCACAGGACCTTAAGTGAAGTCCTCCCTCAATGTTCACTCATGATTCAGAGACAGTAAGGGATAGGCTCTGCCAATAGCCCCTCTCTCTCATCATCTGACTTATGGGATACCTTCTGGAGAAAGAGGCAGTTCATATAAGGAATGGTTGCTAGAATTGGGTATGTCTAGTTTAACGAAGAGAAGGACAAGGGGGGACATGATAGCAGTATTCCAATATCTCAGGGGCTGCCATAAAGAAGAGGGAATTAAGCTATTTTCCAAAGCACCTGAAGGCAGGACAAGAAGCAACGGGTGGAAACTAATCAAGGAGAGAAGCAACCAAGAACTAAGGAGAAACTTCCTGACAGTGCGAATAATTAATCAATGGAACAGCCTGCCTCCAGAAGCAGTAAATGCTCCAACACTGGAAGTTTTTAAGAGGAGACTGGACAGCCATTTGTCCGAAATGGTGTAGGGTTTCCTGCCTGAGCAGGGGGTTGGACTAGATGACCTCCAAGGTCCCTTCCAACCTTATTACTATTACTATTATCTATCTCTGCCTTTCATCAGTTAGACATCTAACAAAACGAAAAGTAATTTTTAGTCAAGAAAAGAAAATATTTTTTCTGTTTATGCAGGAGAGGAAGATATTCATCTTTTAGAATACTCCCTCTTCTTACATTTTTAACATCAGTAAGAATCATCTGAATAAACTTCAGGGTTCATAGGAAAAGTACAAGGGAAACAAGAGGAGAATTCCAGGATTCCCTGTATTCCCACATCCGCATTTTATCCTGATTATTATTATTAATATTATTAATATTCCTGACTATGTAGATGCAGAAAGTGATTTCTACATCCTTTACACAGGCATGGAAAGTGATGAAATTGCCTTTTTCTTCTGATTTAAACAGGTTATTAAAATACAGTCCTCAATACTGGGTTAATAGAGAAATAAAAACCAAGGGGAAAATAATGTGCCTAAATTAAATAAAAATTAGCTCCTTTCTAAGTTCTGCACAAATTCTTTACAAATCTATCAAACAGGACCAAAAAAAGAGTAAAATGTAATGTAAGACACTGGGGTAATAACAAAATAAATCTATAATACTGGTTCTGGTATAAAAATATAGTAGAATAAAGAATGAATTCAAATAATGAAAAGAAATCTATTTTTAATTATTGTAAAGTGTTACATTATTTTTAATATCCTAGTGATTCCTAAGCCTTGGAAATAATTTACAATTATAAGAATTCTCCCCTTTTATTAATTTTCCAAAGAGAGCAGGAAAATCAGATCCTTGACTGTTCTTCTTCCTGAATTTTGAATTCAATCAGAAATTGTAGAGTCAAAATTGTAGGAGAAAAAAATTAATCAAAATGAGAAAGTTGGAAAGCCTTTGGCATTGACATTGTTAGGCAAAATATGATGGCTGTTTCAGGAAGGTGATTGTAGTTGGACACAGTTCTTCAAAGTGCACATCAGAATCAAATGCCATAGATCAGAAAAAAACAGAAAGGCATTTGGGAATAGGGTATAGGAATGGTATAGGGTTTCCTGCCTGAGCAGGGAGTTGGACTAGATAACCTCCAAGGTCCCTTCCAACATTGTTGTTGTTGTTGTTGTTGTTGTTATTATTATTATTATTATTATTATTATTATTATTATTATTATTATTATTATTATTATTGAGTGACTGGGATATAGGGCAATAGCAGCTGATAGATCTTCCTGAACCAGCCTTTCCCCTGCTAAGTCCAGTATAACACTGCAAAATATCACAACAGCTATATAGCATTTATTTAAATACTTCAGAGGCAGGAAAACATACTTGGTATTTGTTGGATCTGGGGCTCATCTCCCTCATCATCCTGTGTTTTTTTTAATTCTAGCATTCTAAGATATCAATATTTTGCTAACATGTAATACCAAAACTATATATGTTACTCTAAACATATATTCTATATTCGTTTCTGAATGTGAGTGCAGCTTTGTTGAATCTATTGGCTTAGCAATCTCCCTCCTGGTGACTTCTACTTCCCAATTATTTCAGTATTTTCTTCACTAAGCACTATCACTTCTTTCCTTTGGAGGGCAGCATGTAGGAATAATGAGTTTTATAACTTTAATGTCCTCTGAAACTGTTCTTTTAATGTTTAAAGATACAGTGTTTATTCTTTTAGGAAAATCACAGAGGTTGAAAAAGAGGGAGATTATGCATCCCAAACATGGAGGATTTTTCATACTCCAATTGCATGATGAACTTCTCTATGAAGTTGGGGAAGATAACATAATTCAGGTATGATTATACAGTTTCCCAGAAATCTTTACAGACTGGTTGTTATCTGTGTGGTTATCAAGTTGACTACAAAGGATACAATAACATTCCAAAGGGAAGTCAGCGACTGTTCAAAATTGTTACTGGACTCCAATCCAGTTCTGTCCTTATGTTTAGGTCTACCATCTATGTCTTATAAAGTAATTTTAGACAGAAGTTGCATTCAGAGCTATAGGGAATAAAGGGCAAATTGGCTGATTTTTCAGGCTGCAAAATGCCATTCACGTATGCTTGGGCTGAGTTTCATGAGTATGGTTCTGCTTTTTTTAAAAAATGATATAAAATGGATTATGATTCTTTGAATCAGTTGTGTAATTACTTTTTCAGATTCTCTGAATCATTGTCCCTGCCCTAATTTTAAAGATACTGTGTATCTTTAAAGATGTATTCAACTTTTATAACTAGTAAAAAAGAAAGTTACATATTTGAATCTCATGGTAATCCATGCACTCAGTTATTTTTCTAAGCCTATATTGTTGTTGTTTTCAGGTGGCACAGATTGTTAAGCATGAAATGGAAAATGCTGTAAAACTCTCAGTAAAGCTTTCAGTAAGAATCAAAATTGGGCCTAGCTGGGGAGATCTCCAAGACTTGGAATTCTGAATGATGAACAGATGTTTCTAACACACAATTCTATGAGAAAATGTATAGGCTGGACACTTATTCTTCTTTCTTTTTTCTTTTTGCACTGATACATCCCTTAATATTTCAGAAAAAATCTAAACCCCTAAATCTGTTAAGAAAATAATTCAGATGTTATGGTGTAACTAAAACTTACTAAGAAATTGTTTCACGAAATAGTATTAATTCCTGATAATATCTTAGTGATTCCAAAGCCCACATTGAACTGTTAAAATATTGAAGTATTAGAGAAGGATGGATTTAAGATTATTTTTTAAATGCAATGCAGTTAGGAACAGCTAGAAGGATGAGTTGTTGTATTTTACTAGTACAGCTTTTTTATGAAGAACATATATTTAACTTATTTCATATACATAATAAAATATGTGAATAATAAAATGGAATTAATCTATTTTGCTATGTGTGTAACTTAAATATAAGGAGTATCTGTATCTCAGGTTTCTGTAATAATTCCATGATTTTAATATGTGAGGTACTGACCATATATATGATCCTTATGAGTTTTCTTCTTATGTGTAAAGGAGAGTACAAAATATGAAATATACTCTGCTAAAGATAAATTTCTTCCAAGTAGTACATGCACAAAGTATCAGTCTATTGCAGGGCATGGTCAGTGATTAGAATGTTCCTTGATTTAATAGAATACAGTCTTGTATTTAAAAATTTGCAATCCATTCCTTTCTTATTTTATTTTTCATCTGACAAATCCTATGTAGTGTACCTTACTATTCTGTTTTGTTATCTTTTCTATGTGATTTGAAATCAGTCAATGAATTTGCTCATATTGTTCCATAATATAATTTACTTCACCACTTAGTATAAAATAAATAGAGGCATGTTCCTTCTCTTGAGCTGCATTTGAAAATAACTGTGCATTTGGAACTTTCACTTTGATTATCAAAAAGTCAGTGTAGAAGATAATTATGCAGAAAAAAGAAATTAAAACGTGTTAATATAAATTAAAAAAAATCTTCCTGATTACAGGTAGGTCACAATTTAGTGCAAATTGTAAATTGATACCAAGTTACATTTAATACAACTCCAAATTAACATATACATATTTGATGTTAGCACATATGCATCTGTGATTAAGATTTTAGACACTGCTAATCTTCATGCAAAATGGAACAAAGAAAGATTCTGGCAGAGGAAAACTGTGCAAGTTTGAAAAAAAAGGTTCATTATTACATTAGAGTAAAATTGTGATATATTGAACAATATAAAAACGTTCATAGCAACACTAAAATTGGATGAGATGTTTGAATGCCTGGATTTGTGGTAGAATTTTTTACTTTCATTTTACTTTCTATAACTATTCCATGAATCATAAATTGAAATCATAAATATATATTTTATCCATTATTGCAATATTTAGTTAGGTTTAAAAATTTTCACTTTAAATAATAAGAAATTGAATAATGGTGCCATTTTGTGGGATTCTTTAATCACACTAATTGAGATCTACTGTACCTGCAAAGGAAAAGTGGGGAACAGAATTTACAATAGGAGCCAGTGTGAAAGAAGACACCACTATTGGCTCAAGTATGAGTATCAAGTAAATAAATGGTTGTCTATTAGGACTCCTAGATCCCTCTCAGTTACTATTGTTAAGCCAAGTGCCACCTATTTTATACCTGTACATTTGGTTTTTCCTAACTAAGTGCAGGACCTTACTTTCTCACCACTGAACTGCATTTTGTTGGATAGGGCCCAATGCTCAAGTCTGCCAAGATTCTTTTGAATCTTGAGCCTAGCTTCCAAAGTGTTAGCAATTCCTCCCAGCTTGGTGTCATCTGCAGATTTGATGAACTCCCCTTCTATCCCCTCACATAGATCATTTATGAGGATGTTGGAGAGTTCTGGCCCTAAAACAGAACCTTTGGATACCCCACTGCATGCTTTCCTTGATGTAGATATAGTTCCATTGAGAACAATATGCTGAGCGTGGTTGGTCAGCCAAGTGCAAATCCATCTGGTGATTTAAATTAGTCAAATTTGTTGTTGGTTTCAAATTCTGATTCACATTACTGGAAATGATAGAACATGTAGGATTAGATAATGTCCTATTCTTTAGACAGATATACTTAATAAGGTCAAAAATTGAGGACAATTGTTCCTATTAACCAACCAGTGTGCATTGGCATAACACACACACACATTCACTGGCCGCTTCACAAAAGTAAAAATACAGTTTATTTCAATTTTGTTTTGCATGTTAGGTGAACCTATGTATTGTGGCTTATTGTTCACCATGATGAAATGAATCGTGGCTTAGCAAATGTGAGCAATAATGCTGTCACCTATCCTGTAACCATGAAATCTGCATCTTTCTGGAAAAAGCAACGCTCATTGAACAGAAATAAGTGAACTGAGTCACAAAATAATATTGTGGAGATGCACTAGGACAGTGGTGGCGAACTTATGGCATGGGTGCCAGAGGCGGCACTCAGAGCCCTCTCTGTGGGCACGTGTGCCGTTGCCCAGTCCCGCCTCCCCCCATGGCCCCCTCACCAGTAGCCCCCCTGGAGGAGAGTCGCCCCCGAGTGCAGCCCATACGGAGCAGCGCAGCCAAAGACATGGCAGCCGGGCAGCGGGGAAAGACTCCACCCTTGTGCCCCGTTGCACACAGCTGATGTTGTGGGGCATGGGTGGACAGTGTGGCCGTCATGAAACTGCTGGGCTGCCTGGGCAATCTGTGGCGGGCCATGGAGCTGTGAGTGGTCCTGTGGGTGGGTGGGGGTGGGGCTGGTGGCATGCAGGCAGGCGGTGGGGTTGGGTTTGGGGCACTCGGTCTCTAAAAGGTCCACCATCACTGCATTAGGAAAAGGTCACTTCTGCTTGATCATTGTAGGGTAACTTATTAGACAAAGAAAATAGAATCTTTATTGAAAATTTTTAAAATTTTTACAAATAGGGAAAAGAAAAAATAAAAAACAAAAAACAACCCTACTCAACCACCCCAACCCTCCCACCCATCCCCCCAACCTTCCCAGAGCTGAATATAGGCTTAGTTAAAAATTCTAAAAATCTTAAACAGAAATTAAAAAAGTATAAACCATAAGTATATCTAAATACATTACATAAACTTATAAGATAATTAACAATAATATATATGTAAAAAAAGCATAAATATTAAAAAAGAAAAATGCTTAAAAAGAAAAAAAATAAAAGAAAGAAGAAAAGATATATATATAAAAAGAAAAAAAAGAAGTAAAATAAGATAAAATAAAAATAAGAGATATAAGGAAAAAGAAGAAGAAGAAAAAATACAATCTATAAAATATTAAAATTTATATATAAGTTATTGAAAAACTAAGTAATATTTTTATATCCAACTTATATTGTATAAAATCTATCCATTTTTCAAGAAAATAGAATCTTAAAATTGTAACTCCTTCTCCACAAACAGAAAATAATTGTCCAGTGAGGGTGGAATCTGCTCAAGGCAACCAAATTTAGTAATTTCCAAAGCACATAAATAGTCATCTTGGTCCAAAACAAAAATATCCCCAAAGCACATGAACCGAATTAAGAAGCATTGATTTGAAGCATTTTTCAGTATTTGTTTTACTAAATGGAAAACCTATGAACACTGAAATAATGACAATTTCCCTTGGTTTTAATTGTTGTTTATTAAAAGTGTTTTTGTTAAAGGAACTTTTATGATTACCATCCATAATTATGATAGTATAATCCACAGTTAAACTGTACAATTTAATTTCTATTTGTCTTGCGTCTAAGTCCAGTTCCCTAATTTTGTAGCGCATCCCACATTAAAGTAACCATAACCAAGTTCTCAATTACTTAAATAATTTTCATTTACTAAATGATAAATAACAAATTCATTTTATTTTTATTTTTATTTATTTTCTTATATAAGCATAAAACTCTTGCTAAGAATTTACATCAACATTTGTTGGCTTAGATACCCATACAATGCTTAACTGCATACTTCAAGTGTGATAAGAGATTGTTCCTGGTTCTGTAATAAACCTGGATAATTTTATTTAGTATGTTTCTCCATTCTATGCACAAGTTTATAAAACTATTTTACACCTTCATACTCTTTTAATACAGTAGAGCAGTCCACCTAACCTGTCATCATTTTGTGGTCCTTTTGGTATGTTCATTGAGTAGTTGGTTCAGTGTTGCTTTTCCTTTTGTTTTGAAAGTTTCATCAGCCTCCATTCCTTTCAAACTTTAGACTTCTTAGAATTCAGATTTTTTTTTCTGTATCTTCCTTGGCAACCCTTTCCTCTTTTCATCACTTATGGGCTTTGTGAATTGTAGATGTTTGTTCACTACATTTTTTACTAGACGGCATGGTTTCTCTTCCACTTTTGTCCTAACTGGAACTATCTGGCATTATGCTTTAAGTAACTTCAGCATCTATGAGTGGCAACTAATCAGAGATAAACCTGTTTGTCTCAGTCTTGCCTAATTCTCTGGAGAGACTAGCTGTTCCTTGGTAAATGCATCAGGAAGCTTTTTGTGGAAGGGATAACATATTGACACCAACTTTGTTGTCAAAATGATATTCATCCCTTTATGAAGTTTTTAAAAAGCCTTTTTACCCCCACTTCATTCTTGGCCATATTAGTGTCCAGTGGCCTAATTTGGGGATTTCCCAGAAGAGGCCCTTGCAATCCATTTTATCAATGAAAGGTATATCTTAATATAACCTGCTTACCAGATATGTTTTCTACTATAATTACTGAAAAAGAAAACAACACTAGTTGTAATCTGTATAGTTTATTTATAAATTTTTGCTGCAGTTCCTAAAGTATAAGCCAAGACTTTCATTGTTGGAGAAATCCATCAGATTTCTTTCAAGTCCATCGAAACCAGAAACATAATTCAGAAAATCCACCACAATCTGCATCAAGATATTTCTCAGCTCAAAAACTTTACAAAATATGCAAAGTTAAGGAAAGTTTAAGACAAAAACATTTAATCCAAAAAAATTTGGATAGTAATGTAGCATATAACCAATGAACTTTGGAAAAGTTGCAAAATTATCTGGAACTTTGATGGAACAAACTTAAAGAATATATGTAATATTGTATACAATAGTAACATCTGTCTAAAAATGTCTAGACATCCCATAAAGAAAGCACAAAGGTTTGGCCACTGAACTTTATGTGACTTTATTTGTTAACTAATGAAATGCACTGTTTTCAAACTAAACTTGCCTATAGAAAAAAGAATTTCAAATAAGAGAAATACAGTTTATTTTCAGCTGAAAGCAACATGCTAGAAATGTTTTAAAATATCTATGTGTATATGTGGAATATAACAATAAAACTCCTTTCCTTAGTCATAGCATGCTTTGCTTTTTTTGTATAGGAAGCCAGTTAATCATGCAAAATTTTGTTCAGTGTAATTGCATTAACAATCTAATATATACATGCTGCTTCAAACCAGGAATTATGCTTTCTACAGCTTATATTCAAAGCCAGTTAAATGTTACCTTTTAGATATTGATCATTTGGAAAAGACTCAAGATAGATGCAAAGATCCACCATGCAGTGGCCTTAGAAAACAATCTTTGACTCTCTGAGGGACAGGAAAGGAAAAAGGAAACAGCATGGAACAAGGGCTGCTTCTGCCAAGAGACTGATCTGTTGAAGCTTGTCCCCCTAATTTCTCAATACAGCACATTCAGGGAGAGCTTCCATGTTGAAAATCAGAACTGGTACCATTTTTTATCCTTGTATTTGATCATTACCTGAAAGAATAGAAATAACAATATTCAACTGACATGGAGATATGAATGTTTTCCTTTCATCCTAACATTTTGCAATATGACCCCTAAACTCCAACTTCCAGAGACTGCCTATCTGTTTGGGTGCTTGTAGACTATATGCTGGAGCATATCTTTGAATATATGGAGAACTGATGTAACATGTCTTGATCAGGACCAGAACGTCTGCTGCTATTAGAGCCATAAAAGAAGTGGGGGTTACTAATATTTAATGAAAGACATATTTACTACAAATTGAGGCTTAAAGTACCACTATATTCTTCACTGAACCTTGCCAAACATTTAGCCAGTTTCTGTTTGGGGAGGTATTAAGGAGTGAAAGCAATTGTTTGTATTACTTCTTCCAAAGATTCATAGATCTTCCCAAGTGATTCTGAATGTCTGAGCTTGCAGAGAAACCTAGAAGGGGATTGATGATTCCTATGAGAGACAATGGGTGAGGCTGCATGGATTAGTTGCGGGCAGCGCATCAGCCAACTCCCAATCAGCGTTTTAAAATGTATGATTAAAACAGGCAACACAGAGGTTCTGGCACCCTGGAAATTGAGCAGAAAGCTTGAAGGGAAGATTAGTAGCAGGCAGGCTAGCCAAGTGAAAGAACTGGATTCAATCCTGTAAACTACTTTGAAAAGCATAATGCAGTTGAAACAGTTTCTATCCCAGCTTGTCAATCATGCATTTATTACAACTCCTCTTTCTTAATTATCTTTGTTCACCACAATCACTGCTGCTGGAATTAAAAAAAAAAGAATAAATGCACTAAATATGGCCCAAAATAGGAAAGGAGGACTCAAACAAATCTGATTTACATGTCATCTGCCTAATGGAGTGAATAAATCAGTTCAAGAGTATCCCTCATCTCAAGGCAGTAAAGGCAAGAAATATTTCTCCGGGATCAACGCTCACCTCATGTGCATGTTTGGAAAATGCTTCTGCACTTGACATCATTCTTGCTGTCTTTTCATCTAGTTCCCCAAGTTTTTGTCCCCTTTCATCAAGAGCAAGACGTGCACGAGCCAGATCTCCAAGAGCACCTCCTGCAGCTCCTTTCATACTCTCAATCGATCCAGGAATATGTTGAGCAAGAGTACAAGATGCTTTTCCTGATGTTGCTTCGCCAACTGGAAATGGAACAGAATTAAAAGTATTTTATTGTGTTTCCTGAATTCCTGCCTATGTCTATGCGAACAGATGAAGTAGATTATAGAAAGAATTCTCACACAGAATCACAGAATTATTGAATCACAGATACAGTATGGGAGAAGTACTTTAGGCCATCATGAATCCAAAATAAAACATTCCCGACAGTTGGCTGTCTAAATTCCATTTGAATGTATCCCTTCAAACGGAGTTCATCACTTCTTGTGTTAATTATTTCCATTTGAGATTTGGATGGTTTTTCCCCTAACATAATTTAGAACCTGCCTTCCCAGGATGTAGGTAACAAATTTCTACTTCCATTTGGCATATCTTCAAATAATTCAAAATATATTTTGGTAGGATGGGGATGTTTAGTCCCTTGTTCATTTCTGCTCATATTTGAGTCTGTTTCAGTTTATATCACTATTTGTTAAAGCATGATGTCCATAACTGGCCACTGTACTTGCAATAAGGTGTGACCAAGTAGAATAACATGACATTATGGCTCCCAATGACTTGAAAACTATGCTTCTCTTAAATACAGACTAAAATTTCATTTTCCTTTTGGTAGCTATGCCACACACTGCTGAGTCATAATCAACATTTTTCCAATTCTATATTGATTTGCTTTTCTGTCTCCTATGTGATTTTTCACTGTTAAATGTAATTATGTTATCGTCACCCATTTCACTTATTAATTTTGAGATATTTGATATTTGAGGGGTCACATCTCTCAATTACATCTACCAATCTCACCAGATCCAATCATGTTGTGGATCACTTCAGCTAGGGAACTTTATTTGGTGGGTCTCTGCTGTGGCCCATGCTTTATTTAATATTCTTTCCTCAAAATGAAGCTGGCATCATTTTTTTTTTTATCTTTCGGGAGATCCCTTAAGATCTGGTTATCTTAGCAGACTTCCAGATCCCAGGGGACTGATGAAATACTGTGCTATTGTGCTATTAACACCCATTGTTTGCCCAATATTATTTTCTTTTAGTTTTGTGCATTGATTTCTTTTGATGCCTTCCTTTTTTATTTCCTCATTGGAATTGTTTGCAATGTTTTTCAATAACTTGTTTTAAGAATCCCACCAATTTTGGGCTATTGTATAAAGAATAAACTATACAAAATAAGTACTATTTATTGAGATATTTTGGGAATAACTGCAAAAGGACTGCTTTGTGTTGTCACTAAAATTCTGGCTACCATGGGAAAACATTTCCATTCTCAGAAAATATATTATTTTGAATGAGATAACCCACTTCAATAGTTTTATTCTGCAAAACAGTATTCCCCAATATAGAGCCCTCTAGATCAGCAGTTCTCAACCTGTGGGTCGCGACCCCATTTGGAGTCGAACGACCATTTCACGGGGGTCGCCAAACAATGCAGTCCGCCATTTTTTTCCCCCTTTTCCTTAGCTGTGCTACTCCCTTTTATTCTATTGGCTTTTGAAAGCCAATAGAATAGACTCTCTTGAATAGAGTCTAATTTTATTGGCTTTCAAAAGCTAATAGGAATTGTCCAGGCTGTCTCCGCCCTGCTGAGCCCGCCAAAAGTCCCATTCTGCAAACGGTGCTGCAAGTTGTGTGCAGCGAAGGCAAGCTGTCTGGAAGTTTACACCTCTCCCTGCTGAGCAACTACTAAAAATGTAAGTAAAAGAGGGCCAGGGGTGGGAGGTGGGAGGCTGGCGGGCACAGGGAGGGTTGCTGGAGCACGTGGGGCCCGGCAGGTGCCTTACCTCCCTTGGGCTGGGCCAGCTGGTGGTCCAGCTGGTGGTCGGCCTGCTCTTTCTCTGCCGCTTGCCAGCTACGCCTCGGCCGGCGCAGGGGGCAGCACCACGCATGCGCGGCGCTCCCGGTCAGGGAAAGTCCTCGACTTACAACTGGTTGGGTAGTCCTCGACTTACGACCGGTTTAGTCCTCGACTTACAACCGGTTGAGTAGTCCTCGACTTATAACCGGTTGGGGGTCACGGCATTAAAAAGGTTGAGAACCACTGCTCTAGATATTCAGGTCATTTGAGAATTTCAACAGGTATGCTTCTTGAATCACTGGCTCTTCCCAGATGGTGAAGACAACCATCATACAGTAATCTTTCTGCTTCCCAACTTCAATTTTAGGGGAAACTGTTCATGATGAAAATAGGGACAATAGATGGAGGAAAACATGTGTTGTGCACCTATCAGATCATTTTGTAATCAAGAAACCCAAGTATATGCAATTAATACTATATTGCAGTAAGTTAAGGTTACAACATACAACAACCCCCCCCCAACCTCAGTAGAATAAAAAGCAAACATACCCATATTGTCCATGAAATAAATCCCAGAGTCTAGTAATACCTTTATTTTGTCCCAAAATGGCACAGAAGAATGTGCAAACTTTCAAGTTCTCAAGAACTCTTCATCAGGCAACATGTAACAAAAAGCAGGGAATGGAGAAGCAAGAAAGTCCAAAAATTAGGCTAGATGTTTCAGCCATGAGGTCTGAAGTCAGTCTTAAGATGTATGAAATATATTGAATGCAATAGAAAGTTGTAGGCATTATTGATGTCAGACAATGAGACTTTAGTAAGTTCATGCAAGTAACTGATGACTTTTGACTCCTCAGATTAACCTTGTATTAGTACAATAAGATATTAGTTGCATATATCTGGGTCCCTCTTTTTTTTCTTTTTGTAGGAATAATTGGATGAGATATTTATACAATTTTTTTTTTATCTTTGGATACATAACAGGCATTCAGTACCTCCATCGTAGCATTTAGCACAGAGATACATAGCAACTTTTTAGAACGTTTAAATTTTGGTGTTAAATGTATAATTTAAATTATCCATTTGAACAACATTTGCAACATTGTTCAGATATTAGTTTTGAACAACCATTTCAGAAAGGCCAGTGTTATACTATCACAATTTTATTCTATTTATTTTCATTTTTTATATTTTCCTTTGATTCCTATTTTTTGTGATGCATTTTATGGGGAAAAACACTTACACAGATCTTCTCGGTCAAGTGTTCCACCAGTTCCACCAAATAGCCCCTTCAGAAAACCTCTGTATTGGGCCTCTGGGGTGTCCATGGGAATGAACAAATCACCAAGCATGTCCTGTTCAAACAACAGCACAAAAAAAAATCCATTTCAAGTCTTTTCAGCCAAACTTCACAAGAGAAGCTCCTGAATGTTTATTAAGATGTATGTAGGGTATATCAACAGATGAATTTTATCATCACTGAATAATCAATCTTCCCAACAATGAGAAGAATTCTGATGTATCACACAAAAGTCTCTCTTAGTCAGAAAAGCCCATTCCTAGATGTTTTCTTATGCTGTGGGATACGATATACATAGTTGAACTCTCAAGCAATGTAAGGGGAACTCTGTCCCTGACTTTTCAATCTTTTTCATGGCCATCTCATTTTTTTGTTTCACCTTTAGTAGCCAATGTGACTATGTTGAACCCTCCTAGCGTGTATGGAAATAAAGCTTTACACCTCATGACACATCATGGTTAACATTCAGGGGTACATCCAGAATGCATGCAACAGCACATCCCTATACCCTTATAGTAAGATACTGCCAGTGATGTACTGCTAAAATGTTCCAAAAAATGGCTCTGTCAAATCCATTGCAGCCACTAATTATAGAACAGCTAATTGGCATGCTATGTGTTAAGGCTCACCTTTAGGTTGTGGCCAGTCTGACATGTTTGCGGTCAACTGGTGCACAAAATTCCAGAGAATTTAACAAATGGCTTTTATAAGTTGATGTGAGCCAACTCCAGCACATCACTGGATATTGCCAACCATAATGACTCTTGTCCTCATCCCATGCATCTTTCTACCATTGCTATAGGAACATCAGCACACAATGTTCATTTTCAAAAGGTAGTGGTGTTATAAGCTTTTTTTTTCACTACAAAAGTAATAACCTAGTCTAACCTAGTAATAACCTAGCATTCACAAGAATGCTAAGAAGACTAAATGAGCAGAAAAGCACTGCAGCAATCCTGAATATCAGGAAAAGGGAACGGATCATCTATACCAAGCATGTCCAATCCATATACTACATGCAGCCTTGGACAACTAGTAATGCAGCCCCACAAGATTGTAATAAAAATATTAAAAAACAAAGGAAGTTTGTTCTTTATATACATTATATATTTTATATGCAGCCCAAGATAATTCCCCTTCATTCAGTGTGGCCCAGGTAAACCAAAAGATTGGTCACACTTCATCTATACATTTTCCAACAAAATGAACACCCACCCAATTTTATCAAAAAATGCCTGATCACTCAATACACTACAGGACAATCAGCACAAGTTGTGAAAAAGGATAACATTGCGATACATGAAAAACAGCTCAGAAATAACTATAGACTATTAGAACTACATGGCATCATCCTAGCACACCTAGAGCCCTCCAAAACACCCTAAGTAAACCGAAAGACCCAGTAGCCTCAGAAATAAAAACAGGAATCATCTACAGCATAGAGTGTAAGAACTGTAACAGCCTCTATATAGGACAGAAGACTAGCAGAGTGTATCCGTAAACCCCAAATGGTGGTCAGAAGACTCCTTAATTACACAATACATGGAGAGACATCACTATAGTTTCAATTGGGTCCTCTTGAGAATTCTAGACCAAGTGAAGTCCAAAAATGCTAAAGGATTCCTGGAAGTCTGGCACTTAGACAAACCAGCCAGAGATAAATACATCTATATATCGTTCAAAAGAGACAATCAAAAAGCTAAAAAGGAAACAAAAAGACCAAAACACCTCTTCACCAGCGACCAACAACCAGATAAACAGAGATTAACATCAAGATTAATACTAGACCAACAATCAAGCAGTAAACAATAACCCCACACAAGGAACTACAGCCTAATCAAAGAACCACCAAGAACACTCCCAACAACGCTGACAGGATAAGCTCCTTGTATATAAACAGATGATGTTATCTAATGAAATGTCCTCAAGAAAACAACCAACCTCCAAGAGCACCATGGACCCCACAGGCTCCTCAGTGTTTAATGTGACAGTCCTTCCTCCTGGCACCATTTCATTCATGGAGTACGATTGAGTTTCACCTGTCCAGCTGATAGAACAGGTAACATTCGGGAGACCATTACTTGCAAACCTGGATTTCAGTTTGCAAATTAACAAACTAAATTTGGCTTCCAGGCCTTGCTGAACTACATTTTACAATACCATTGGTATCAAAGCTGCCTCATCCCAAGCACTATTCATTGTTTAAGTCCTTGCTCTAGAGCTGGCAGGCAGCTAATCATGCAATCTCCATGACTGTCACAAATCCACCTGACTTCCTAATGATCAGTTCACTCCTAATCCAAAGCTCTCTATCCTCTGTAGAATCCTTGGTACAAGAGGATTTGAAGTCATCATCCAGGGATCATATCCTGCCTATAAAAAAGGATTTCCCTAAGACTCTCATTCTTCCTGGCAGCAAATGAACTGTCATTTTGAGAGAGTGATGAAACTGTGATGTTACAAGTATTTTCTGCATATTCTCCGACTCTCAAATCATCTCCAGCTCAGCCACTTTGGATTCAAGGAAACAAACTTCTTTTTTTGGCATTGCGCTTTTACAACACAGAAGCTATGTTTGTTATTATATTTCAAGATCTACCTGCAGATGGTCAAACATTTCCTGGCTATAGTTCAGTCGCTGGACTTCTGTTGGAGAACCAAGATACAAAGCTTGTCCTTCATTGGTAAAACAAAAGGTCCGGGCAATCCTTGTATCTATTTCAGGCAAATAATTCACATCTAGCAGCGAGCGAAGGCTGGGTAAACTGAAAATAAACAGATAGATTCTGTAGAAACAGGTTTTAACACAATATTATTTGCAGTACCATATTTTCACAGCTGTGATCCAAGCAAACAAAACAAAATTATGCATTTAAATATAATCAGAATGACTATGGCTGCAGATCTATGAATAATTATTTGCGAATAAGTCATATTAAATGCAATACAGTTATCAACATTAAGCTATAAGCCTCAAGATTAGGTTAGAAAATGCATGTACCAATCAATTGCTATGGCAATTGCAGGTAGGGATTCATCCTCTGTTCAAATTCCTGGATTATATTGCACCCATATGCTGTACAAAAGCAAAACTAAATTATCTGGCACTTGTGAATTAAACTTGCGTATAAAGTCACTTCTGTGAGCTGCTAAAAAGAGAGAACTTCAGACTCAGCCAGGCTTTGCCAGCTACAGAGAATGATCTAAATACTATAAAATACTTCTGTAGCCATAAGGACATAGATGCGCCATATTCTTGAACCTGAGAGAGGCAAGTGGTGTTTATGCCCTGCTTAAGGTAGGTAGCTGGGGATGATATTTTGGATTATGTGTTTGTCTGGGTACTGGAGGGAGGTTATGAGATTAGATGAATGACTGAAGCTTTCCTTAGGCATATATTCTATTCTTTGGGAGAAGAACACTAGATTCAATAATTTGAGCTGTGAAGATAATTTCCAAGGTTAACAAGTAAGCAATCAGAAGTTGAAATTGGCAGGATCAACACAAGAAATTTCTCCCAAAAGGCTAGAAATCACGTGGATGATTCTAGCTACGTTTTAAGGTCATTTGTAAATTTGAATAAATAAATTGCATGGAATTTGGAGTTCTTCATGTGCGTATAATGTATATGTGTTTTCTTAAAACATTATCTTGACCAGAATCTCCTTGGAATCCTCCTTCAGAGGGATCCATCTTTACCAACATCTCACAGATTTCATTGTTCAGCAATTAGTGAAGAGTGCCAAATTCCTCTTCACTTCAAGGATGATGTGTGGCAAGAAAGGGTCATGGCTTACATTCATGAAATGGTATCAAGTACCTCAGTATCATGATATGCCCATTGGCACAAAAACATGCCAAGCAAACACTGTTACAGAGGGTCACCACATCTGCTCGCAAAAATAATGTGTCTGTGATGTTGTGAACATAGAGGCATATCTGGGAAGGCAATGAAAATACTTTGGCTTGTTTCTCTGAGCAGATAATGGCAAGCTGGTGGTCTCCTGTGTTCTGGGAGCATGAAGAATGAAGGACAGGTTTCCTTTTATTGGTTCTTTCACTATCCTCAGTGGCATTTGGATCTTTCCATGCTTCATAGGGAGGATGTATTAATGTTCCCATGCAGTCCAAGCAAGCAAAGGTTAACACTGCTCCTTTTAGTGACAAAATTGTACCTATAAAACAGAATTCATAGGGTTTAATAATCTTGTATTGATGCCAGTATATATTAGCTGCGTTATAACATTTCTGTCTCTGTCCCTCTCTCTCACACACATACACACATACACTTTTTTTCAGCTTATACCATTTCAGTATATATCATTATATGATTGCAAGATAGGGTCAGACCTCTAAATTTAGAGATACTGTACTCAGTCAGGTCAAGGAACTCACTCCCCAATTTCTTAGTATATTTCCCTCATGTTCCTTATAAATGAAAAATGTTGAAATAATGTTATGCTCTCTGGATTAAGTACATATTCATTTCTAGCAGCTTCCTGACATTTCAAGCCAGAGTTCTGCTATGTTTTAATTATTAAATAAAAGGTTATGTTCTGAATTACTTTTGATATAGCAATGTGCTGCATTAAAGAAGCTTTTTTAAAAGTTGTACAAAATTTGTTTTTAATTAAAAAAAAGAGCTAATTTTAATCAAAACTCAAAAATGATGAATTTGTAATGATATCAAAGGTTTTTTTTTTGTTATGATACCCAAATGCTGGCATGGATTTTTTTTTTTTAAATATCCAGTATCAAAAAAATGTCACTAGGCTTGTATAAAAATTTGTCAGCTAAAGTATTGGAATTCTTGGCCTTTTCTGCTTCTTCTTGAGAAAAAGGATATGCATTCAGACTGCTGAGGATGGATCACTGATTCACTTCCCACTCAATCTGCTCCCAATTTCAACTATTCTTTCCAGAGCAAATCTAGATTACATCAGACTCTGCTGAAATAGTCTTGTAGGATCCAATCTGGGTCAGTCACCGGGACCAGAGGTTTTGTATTCCGAGCTTTCAGACTCCTGCCGAAGCCCATCCTCAGGGAACTGCTCTTTAGCAGAGTATGAGCTGTTCTTTGTGTGTCCTTGTTGCAGTGTGAGGCAAACAATGAATTTGATTTTGCAGCTACTAAGATTGTTGATAAGCAAGCACAAAAACAGCCAGGGAAGTGATTGAAGCCTGGGAAACAGGTTCCTCATCAGTCAACAGGAGTGCTGATTTATCACCAGCCCATCAAGTACTTAAAAGACAAGGGCTGGGCAGCACAAGTAAACAACAGCTAATGACTTAAAAGCCACGTCTTGAGGCAGTGGCAATAGTAGTGGGACACACCTCGCAGCAGTGGCAACAGCGGCGCAACACGCTTTGCAGCATCAGGAGCCCTGTGGCACGGTAAGCAGGTGTGGGGCGTGTGGGGCAGCTCCTCCCTCCCCCTGCCTCGTGTCTTAGCAAATAAATAGGACTTATTTTGGGGATAGGGCTTATATAAGGCCCACTCCCAAAAATCTAGCTAGGGCTTATTTTTGGGGTAGGTCTTATTTTCAGGGAAACATGGTAAATACCACGCACAGAACAGCTCACACTCTGCTAGAGAGCAGTTCCTCGAAGATGGGTTCTGACAGGAGTCGGAAAACTCAGAATACAAAACCTCTGGCTCCTGGTGACCAACCCAGATTGGATCCTGCAACATTATCCTGGGGTACGTATATATGCCTTCATTCTTGAAACAGACTTGTGTTATTTTCAGTCTTTTATAAATATTCAAATTACCTTACTCTCCCATTACACATACTGTACACACGTAGACATACATAGACATATACACACTCTTTAGTATACCTAAGGGCAATCCCAAAGGTTAGCACAGGTATCCTAATGACCTTCCTTTCTTCTTTTCTGTTTCAATTAACAGCCCAAGGCAAAAGCACAGAAAGACATAATCTAATTAGACTTTGTGTTAATTGATATATTTCAGCAACTATAGCAATCTGAAATTCTTACCACTGAGTGAAATTGTTACTGGGTCCGTTGGCCTTAATTCATCGACAGTGGGAAGGTGAAGGGAAAGAGTCAAGACTACACCCAGGCCTGTTCCAACCCAAAGGCAAGGAGACAAAGATGTGTCATTTTTCCGTGAAAATGACTCCATGAAATATAAAGCTGTGATTGCTTCCTTAGATTCTTTGTCAATACTGCAGATGCTAGAACTTCGAGAAGGACTGAATGAGTTCTCTCTGTTTTCTGTTGCAGAAAAGTAAGACAGATTAACATATGAAGTTGCTATTTACCAAGACAAGTTATGGTCTTGCTATTATCCAATTAAAAGAAATGTATTTTCGGTAACCATCTCTTCCTCTCTGAAAGCAATCTGTGATTCTGTTTGTTAGAGCAGCTGTAGCTCACTCATTAAGGCAGGACTTCTCACAGACTTTTAATTTTAATTCCATACATGATTATTGCTTTAGAACTCTAAAGACAGTGTTAATTCATGTACAGATTGTAATTAATTTTTTTTGAAAGGTGAAAACAGAAATATACAGTAAGTGGAAACTAACCTTCCAATGTGATGGGCAAAGAGATCTCCATGCAAGCAGCAGACTGTGCTTTCCTAAATGGAGGCTTTCCAGGAGCACGACGATTGATTTTGGAAACATCTGCACTGGACAGTCGTTTTCCAGAACTGCAAGTTAGGGAAGTTGGATTTGTACAGTGTCCATTTAAAGAATCTGAAACAAGATTACATTAGAGTTTTCATTAAGATCAAAAAGAGGTTGCTATAAAGGCTGCAGTTATTTGACAATCTCTTCTCTGCTTATGCTTCATACACATTTTTTAAATACTATATTGTCATTTGAGAAAATGAACATTTGTCTGTTTACTGTTATTTGTTTTCTATATTCTACCAAAACTGGAAAAGGCAGGCATTATATTATAGAATTTTACAAAACATATAATATAAATTTTCAGTTAAGAAAGAGAACAACTTTATTTGCTCTTTTGCCAGTAACAAAGTTTACATTAATATTTCTCTTTACTATTACATGGAAAATATTGTAATAGCCTATATCTTGAATGAATACCAAACTTTTGTTCAAAATTGAAGATCTGATGCAATTTTTTTGTATTTTTTACAGTATATAGAAGATATTGTAAATTATATAGACCTTGAATGCTGTCACTCACACCCTGGTCATCTCTCAGTTGGATTACTGCAACACATACTACATGAGGCTTCCCTTGAAAAATATTCAGAAGCTACAGTTGGTACAGAATCATTTTAACAGTTCTGTTGATGGCAGCCCAAAACACAATAATAGGATAAAGGCCAAAGCATCTAATTAATGTTCCAACTCCTGAATTATATGTCCAATGCACTGTAACTTCAACATTTTCTGAGGCACTTAGAAAAGTGAATTAAAAACTTCAGAACTTTCTTTTGAGCATCCTATTATCATTATTTTGGTTATAAAGTTGAACAGCCAATACCACTCATATGTACTTGAAGAGGGTTCACAATTATCCACTGCATCTTAGCCATTCAGATACAAACTTCAGACAAAGAAAATAAAGAAGAAAAACATAAAAGAAATATACAATTACACTGATAATTTGGTACTCAACTGCTTTGAAATTTGGTACTCAATGCATTTTCACGTGAAAATTTTGTCCTGGTACTCATTGTTTGGTACTCGATGCACAAGCTAGAACTTATCAGTGTCAGCTGCCTTGTGACTTACTACATTATTCCTTATGGGGGAAAAATTGTTTGGTGCTCATCATTTTTGGTACTCATCGCACCTCCCAGAACCAATTAACAATTGAGTACCAAGGTACCACTGTATAATAATCCAGTGCAATGTTTCTCTGCTGGAGCGGCTTATAGCAGTAGAAGGGAAGGGAATGATTTTTTTTAATTCCCCTAACTTGTCCTCAAAATGTAAGATCAGAGTAGAAAACCACAGGGTTGCAACATGGAGAGAAAAAAGTTTAATTATGCAAACACATCTGTTTGCATTTATCCACTGAAAACACAAAATATATCCAAAATTTTAAAGGCACAATGCCTTCAATTCTAATTTCCATTCATTCTTACCCTGGGGAACAAAAAATAGCCAGCGGTTCTGCTGAATTGGTGCTAACTGGCTGAATCCCACCACTAGGTACACTTCTCATTTTAAACTGGGTAGACTGGCATTGAATCTAGTCTGCTCAATACAACATGTTACACTGGAAATTTCCTCTTACTGCAAACACAGGCATAATAAGGCCTAGTTATAGTCAGCCCTGTGGAAGGAAGAAAGAATTAAAACTCTGTCCTCCATTTCATGGTCTCTGCTCTAGCATGACCCCTCACATCAACTATTTGTTTAAAAGAGAGAGAGAGAAATTACACTTTAAAGCAGAATTGTAGGAATAACATTTAGGCAAAGAAAAATGTAATTTTGTGTATTCTTGCAATTTCCAGTAAGTATGCCTTTCTATCTTTCTTTATAAATGGCTCCAGGAAGATAAAAGTAAAATTAATTTTAATACAAAGCTAATACAAATGTCTGGGCATAAAGAATAAACTGCCCTGCTTAGACATCTTGGGTGTCTAAGAAAACTTTCAGAAAATAGATATCAGAAATTGACTTTCTACAAAGCTATGCCCTCTGCTTTACATCTCTTTTGCCCTTATTTGATGATATTTGGGTGACTGGCTTCACATGCCTTTCTCTTATGAATGGTTTGCCTTATTAAACATCTTCATATGTGCTCTTTCACATCACCATCTGTCTCAGAACTAATATAATCAAATTCCAATAGGTTAGACATGATTTGGCAGTTTAATTCTATTGGCAGAGAAGGAGGAGATGGGTCTAAAACATTTTGAGAGACATGGTAAACAAATCTGCAAGTTTTCTACATGAGTCTAGAATGAAAACTATTTGTAAGGAACTATCTGTAACTCAGCAAGTTCTGACTTGCTTTCATGTTTCTAAGGTAGCAAGATCAAATTTAAATTCTGAGATGCTAGGTCAGTGGTTCTCAACCTGTGGGTCGGGACCCCATTTGGGGGTCGAACGACCATTTCATGGGGGTCGCCAAACCACGCTGTCCGCCATTTTTTTCCCCTTTCCCTAGCTGTCCTACTCCCTCTTATTGGTGGCCACACCCACTTGGGGGTCACCACAACATGGGGAACTGTATTATGGGGTCACGGCATTAGAAAGGTTGAGAACCACTGCTAGATGTAAAGACAATTAGCCCCCAAATAATAATTACCTGAAGCTGTGGGGGACCTGCACCGCTCCAGCTCCATTGGAAATGGACCATCCAGTATCTCTGTGACACCTATTAAAATATTAAATTAGAATATATTAATAATTATTGCAATCAACATTATATAAGCATACTATTCCTCAAAAGACCTCTTTTTGTTCTTTTCCGTTTCATTCTGTAATGAATAAATAAGAAGGCCTTGATGGACAGAGGGAAGATCCAATATCAAGGCAATGATCAGATAGACAGAACCCAAGGCAAGGAAGTGATTTGCAAAAAGTTTTCATTCACTTTCCCACCATCCAATTCACAGGAAAATAAAAGAAGAAGGACAGGAAGCATATTTGGATTGGCAAGATTGATGTTGGCCCTATAACGTAGATCAAAATAAAAAGCAGACACTATGTGGACCTAAAGCTACTTTTGTTAAAACATCTATAACAGAATCTTACAAGTCTGAATATATACATTCACATTCTACTCTGGGTTGTCTACAACCCACAAGAACAGATTTAAATATAGGTATGGAATTATACAATTCTATTCTGGCAATAAATGCCAATTTGCTACCTGGAATTCAGTCTCTGGATACAATTCAATGGACTTGGACTATAGAATAAAATCTTATTTTTTGAAATAAATAAAAGAAACTGGCATGCAGAACTCATAAACGCTTCTTGTCTCTGAAACAGCAGTGGTTGGACTTTTGTGGTAATAGGTTTTTGTGACATACATACTCAGTAAGGAACCTTTTAAATGGAAAAAAAATGCAAGGACTTAGTCTTCTATAGAAAAGGTAGAAACAATGCTAATAATATTTAGCAGCTTGGTACCAAATTTAACAGATACCTGTACATGGTCAGGATTTCAAGAAACAAGGAACCAGGATACAATCTTAGGAATGACTTACTGAGCACCATTGAGTCTTAACTGAGTAAAGAGCAAAGTGGGGATGGAAGCATCTCTTCCTTACTCAGGAGAAAACAAACCCATTCACAGATTTTTGCAGATCTATCATTAGGAAAACAATGGGCTTGGAAACTGTTTGCTATTGATGCTAGTGATAAACTTCTGCTTGATTACTTAGAAACAAAGCTAGACAGTCTCCCAAGGTCTTGTCTTCCATACAGGGCTACTGAGAAGAACAATGCATGGGTTTGGAGGAAATTTGTCAGACCTGTCCCAATCTGATCCCTAAGAAAAGAAAATCCTTCGACACCATTTGGTTAAAACAAAGGGTTCTTTTATTAAAAGTGTTGGTTGCAGTAAAGTCAAGTCAGCTCTGAAATTATTGCGTTCACTGGATACAAAAATAAGATGTAGGCTTGCTCCCAGTCCATCCCTCCCCCTCCGTGACCAGTCCGTTTCCAGCCAACCAGAGTTCACCAAGATATTTTGAGAACTCTGAGGTGTTTGGGGGTTAATCTGCATATTTCTCAGGGTGCCTGGACATGGGATGCTGGTACAAACAGGATCTGGCTGCTCTGGTCCTTATCACTTGTCCTTCCCCCCCTCCCGATTTCCTATCACATAAACACAAAGCTTTATTGCCCTTTCATGCTTTCTCCCCCTAATTCTTTTTAGGGCAGGATGCCTATGAAGCCCCCAAGCCGAGCCAGGCAGATCTGACAATATTACCAGTAGGTTGAAACCACTTAGGTAGAGGTCTCTTTTTCTGCAAGCTCAGGATTTGCTGTGTCCACAATCTATGCCCATGGTGATGAACCTATGGCACGCGTGCCACAGGTGGCACACAGAGCCCTCTCTGTGGGCATGTGCGCCATTGCCCCAGTCCAAGGCCTTAAGTCCCGTCCATGAGCAACCTGCATCAAAATCTCCCTGGGCAAGTGGCTTTTTAAGCTGGGTTTTATAAAACCTTTTCGCTTTAGGCTTCCACCGCCATGTGCAAAAAAAAAAAAAAAGTTCATTCAATCAATTTCAACTTCTCGTGGGAAAAAAAAAATCTTGCAAAGTTGCGATTGATTGATTGAACTTTATTTTTAGTCCCACACAGCAGCAGAGGAAGTGACGCATCAGAGCTGGAAAGAAGGTGCCAGAAGGGGTTGGGGAGAGCGGCAGGAGCAGGGGGCTCCATGCGAAGTGTGGGGTGGGACCTGTGCATGGGGTAGAGGAGCAATGTGGTGGCGCTAGCATGGTGGTAGACCAGTTGCTTCCCTCTCCCTCCCAGATACTTGCCGAAGCGGTGCAGGGTAAGGTTGCCGGGCCCACTCCCGCCCAGATGCTCTTGCCTCCCCCAAGCATTTTTTTACTAACCTGCCTTTCAGCTGCATTCCATTTCTTTGTTTGCTTCTCAGCTTTCGCCACGTGTTTGTGGGACTATCGGTAAAAAAAAGTTTCATCAGACTTTCTAACTTCTCACAATATCTCGCAGGAGGTTAGAAAGTCTGATGGAACTTTTTTGTTTTTACTGATAGTCCCACAAACACATGGCGAAGGCTGAGAAGCAGATCTTCCAATGCACCATTGTTGCTACTTTGTCATGCCGCTGCTTGTAGTCAGTCTGTGCAATCTTCTTGCAGCAGTTTACCAGGTGGTCCACTGTTTCTTCAGCTTCTTTGCATAGGCGGCACTTACTGTCTGTTGCTGTCTTCTCAATTTTGACTTTATTTACATTTATCCTTAAGGCTTGGTCTTGTGCAGCCAGAATTAGTCCCTTGGTCTCTTTCTTCAATTTTCCTCCTTTTAGCCATTGCCAGGTCTTGTTATTATCTGCTTTCCCAGCTATTTTTTTTAATGTACTGGCCATGTAGTGCTTTGTCTTCCCATGCCTCTATTCTGTTCTTCATTTTGTCTTTCTTGTAGGCAAGTTTGGTCTCTCCAGTAGTCAATAAGCCTTCCTGATATACTAATTTCAGTGCATCTTCATCACTGTCCTTGAGATATTCTTCCAAAGCCATTTCTTCTTCTTCAACCATCTGATGTACTTGCAGCATTCCACGCCCACCTATTTGCCTTGATAAAGTCTGTCAATGTCACTGCGTGGATGAAGGGCATGATTCATTTTCATTATTTTTCTGGTTTTCCTATCCATTGCTTTTAGTTCTGCTTAAGTCCAGTTGTGTATCTAATGACTGGAATTGCCCAGGTGTTGATTGCCTTTATGGTATTTCCTCCATTGAGTTTGGACTTTAAGATCTTCTTCATTCTCTTGATGTATTCACCTCTAATCTTTTTCTTGACTTCAGTGTGCTTGATGTTGTCAGCTTGAAGGATACCCAAGTATTTGTAGTAATCTTCCTCATCCAAACTCTTAATGTTATTTTCGTGGAGCATCTTGATTCCTTCAGTTTTCACTATTTTTCCTTGTTTGATAGTAAGTGTGGCACATTGTTCAAGCCAAACTCCATTGCAATACTATTATTGTTGTTGTTGTTGTTATTATCATTATTATTATTACAGAAAATATATCTAAGTGTGAGAAAGAAGCTCAAAAACAGCTGCACCTTGATTATATTAAATATAAAGCAACACTGAGAAGGTCTTTAACGGATTTTCAATATTCTGTTACAATATCCTAGCACATTCCAAAATTCTTAGTGATTGCGGGAGTGATGCCAGGTTATGTATTGCTCCGGGACAACCGCAAGCCCCTGCCTTTGAAAGCTGTGTTTGATGGTCAGCCAGAGAACCTTGCCTACTTCCTAAACCAGGTGTGTGGAACCACCTGGATTGGGATTGAGCAGATTTCCTTGCTGGGGGCCATTGTGACCATTACTGCAAACCTGGAGGAAGAAGCCGCTGAGTGGGTGGTGGCACTCCCTGACGAAGGAGCTCCAGAACTGGGAAGTGTGGTCTCCTTCCTGGAGAGGCTCCAGGACAGATTTGGAGAACCCACACAGGCCCGCCAAGCGGAATCCATTCCATAAGGCAGTGGAGTTGATCAGTAGCTGAGTACATTCGGGAGTTGCGCGGCCTGGCTGGGAGACTAAGGGGGTGGCCAGATTGCTTATTGGTCTATCACTTCTGAGACGGATTAAACAGGGAGCTGTATCACAACTGCCTGCCCCAGGGGATCCTGGATGACTTCCCCGTGTGGTATCGTTGGCTACCAGAGTAGAGCTGGACCTGTTGGAGTACAGGCAGCAGGTAGCACAAGAAAGCTGCCCCTGCTGAGGCAAAGAGAAGTGTCTGTCAACTCAAAGAAGGGGAGGAACCCTTCCGTCAGCCACTAGAGAGGGCCAGCATTGCCCTGCAGAGGCCTGCTTCTGACGCAGAAAGGAAGGCCATCGAGGTGCTAACTGATTAGTTCCCCTAGCCTATATTGATGCTGAGAGCCCCGAGCCAGCCTAAGTCGAAGAAAACACCGAAGAAGACAAAAGAGAAGACTCGGGCTGCACAAAGTTCATGGAGGTCTCCCCCTTGTCCAGTGAAGGGGAGGAAATTCAGACCCCCCCCCCCACAAACCTGGTCCAGTCTTCTACGACAATGACAGCAAAGGGAAAGACAATCCAATGGTAAGTGGAGCCATCACCCCATTGACTGCCCAAGTAGAGGTTTTAGTGCCCCAGTCAGGAGCGAGGGGGGGCTTTACTGGCTTGTTAGACTAAGGGTGCACTTGCTGCTTAGTCAGTTTGCAGTTGGTGAAAAAGTTGGAGCTAAGAGACTGAGACAGCCCATGAAATTCGAGCAAGGGGATGGTTTACTCACAGGGGTGTGTGCCTGCAACCTACCTAACGGAGCCAGTAAGCCTAAAGGCAGGGAGCCATGAACAGACTATTTGGTTTATCATAGCCCCAAAGCTGGCAGAGATGGGCTGTCACAGCTGAAGAAATGGAATCCATCAACTGACTGGGAGAATAACAAGTGGCACCTGAGGGGCAAAGTTGAGAAAGTGGAGGGATGGAGAAACCGCCGAAGGTTAAACAGGTGTCATGAGCTGAGAAGGTGAGAGTGGAGCAAGTTAAAGCGCTAGTGGAAAGCAAGAGAGCTGAGCTGAGCCTCCCAAGGGAATACAGAGATTTGGCAGAAATATTTAACGAGCAGGAGTTGGACACCATCCCCCCTTACCATTTCTCAGACTGTGCAATTGAATTGCTGCCTGGGACAAAGCTTCCCAAACCAAAGATGTACTCCATGACCCCAAGGGAGAGGGAAGAGCTCTGAAAGTTCATGGATAAAAATTTGGCTAGGGGCTTTATCCAACCAACAAAATTTAGGATGGCAGCACCAGTGGTTTTCAAGGAGAAAAAAAAGATGGCTCTTTGAGACTGTGCATCGATTTTCAGGGATTTAATGGGGTTTGCATGAAAAACACATACCTCCTCCCCTCATGAAGGACATGCTGGAATACCTGTTCAAAGGGAAGGTATTCACCAAACTGGACTTGAAAGAAGCATACTACCAAGCTAAGATCAACAAGGCTTTTTAATTGCCCCTTAAGATGTTACCAATTCTCCCTTTGGATTACAGGGAGCACCCACTGTGTTCATGCAACTGATTAATGAGGTGCTGCATGAGCACTTGTACAAGGGGTTGCTGGTGTACCTGGACAACATTCTAATCTACTTCAAGATGATAGAGGATCACAAGAAGCTAGTGAGAGAGGTGCTGAGGAAACTCTTGGAAGTTAAGCTTTATACCAAGCTATTCAAGTGCAACTTCCACAAAATTATTCTGGACTACCTGGGCTATCGTGTTTCTAGTGAAGGAGATGGATCCTGGGAAGGTGGAAGCAATACTAGAATGGGAAGCTCCATGAACCAGAAAGCAGCTGCAAAGCTTCCTGGGCTTTGACAACTTCTACTGGCAATTCATCTCTTCATTTACACAAATAGCCTTGCCCATTACTTAATTTCTAAAAATGGGAGAGGAGGGCTGAAACCGAAGCTGAGCTGATTGCTCAATTAGACTATGGAATGTCAAGCGGCTTTCGAGAAACTTAAACAGCTCTTTGTTGCAGAACCTAGGCACCCAAACCTGGTGGAGCCATTTGTGATCCAGGCCAACACAAGCAATGTGGCAGTGGGGGCCATCCTACTTCAGAAGAATGAGGAGTAGAAGCTCCAACCATGCGCCTACTCTTCCCAGAAACTGCCCAACGCCGAGAGGTGTTGGGAGGTATGGGAAAAGGAGGCTTATGCAGTACAGTGTGCACTACTGACTTAGAGACAGTTTTAGACAGCAGTAAAGTCCCATTTGAAGTGTGGACAGACACAAGAATTTAGAGGCCCCGAAAACCCCAAAGAAGCTTAGGGGATCCTAAGCAAGTCCGATGGACACAGAACAGAATAGAGTAAAAGAGTTGGAAGGGACCTTGGAAGTCTTCTATCTCAACCCCCTGTCATTTCAGACAATCTCTTCTTTAAAACTTCCAGTGTTGAAACATTCTCAACTTCTGGAGGCAAGTTATTCCGAGTATTCCAAGTGAGGTCTTACCATGGCATTATAAAGTGGTATTAACACTTCACATGATCTTGATTCTATCCCTCTGTTAATGCAGCCCAGAACAGGAAAGCCCCTGGGGCTGTTGCAGCCAGTAGCCAACCCTAAAGTTCCATGGGAAGAAATCCCATGGATTTTATTGTGGAATTACCCAAGAGCTCTGGGAGTACAGTGATTTGGCTGTAATCGACTGATTTGTGAAGCAAGCATACTTCGTGGCATGCCCAAAGATTCCTTCAGCCCGAAGATTGGCAAAGTTGTTCGTGCAGCATATATACCGGTTGCATAGAGTTCCAAGGCAAATCATCTCTGACTGGAGGGGGGGTGCAATTTTGGCAGAAGTTTCTAAAATTAATAGGCTCTTCCCAAGGGCTTAGCTCAGGGTTTCATCTGAGTACTAACGGAGTGGCTGGAAAGGCGAACTCATTGATAGAGAAATATTTACGCTGCTATGTTAACTATCAGCAAACTAATTGGGCGGAGCTCCTGCCTTTCATAGAAGTGGCATATAACAACTTGGTACATAGTAGCACTGAGTTCACCCCATTTAAAATAGCTACAGTAGAATTCATACTGATGCCAGGACCTCCAAGAGAACCTCCCTCCTCAGTGTCACTAGATGAGTGGATGGAGATCCTAAAAGCCACTTGGGGAGATGTACAAAAAGCACTAAATAAGGCCAGGAAGTCTTACAAGAGACAGGCTGATCAGAAGACAGCTCTCCAAAAGAAGTTTAGTATTGGAGATAAGATGTACTTGTCCACCAAATATCTTAAGCTGAGGCAACCATATAAGAAACTAAGCCCTAAACATATAGGGCCCTTCCTGATCATTTGGATTATAAGCCCAGTTACGGTAGTGTTAAAATTGCCACAAAGTCTAAGTTGGGTCCATCCATTGTTCCATTGTAGTTTGTTAAAACCATTTCAAGGCTTTAGTTTAAGGCCAGCTGAACAGGAGCCACCTGTTATGGGGGGAGGGGAAGGAACACTACGCGATTAAGAGAATACTGGACTCACAATTTTTTAAAGGGAAGCTGCAATATTTAGTACAGTGGAAAGGATATCCCTTAGCAGATGCGGAATGGGTGGCCACTCATAATGTTAGTGCAGATCGATTAATACGAAAATTCCATGATAAATACCCTCAATGCCCAAAATCCTAATTGAGTATTAATGATTAATGGTGATAATTTGTGTTTAATGTTTTTCCAGGTATACCCTTCTTTTGGGAGGTCAACATGTCAAGATTGAATTGCTACAATGCTTGTTAGCTTCATCATCTTGCCAAAGAAAAGGGGGAAGAGAATTAAATGCCAAGAAGCCATACATGGACCGTGAGAGCCTGCACCATGCCAAGGTCGTTGCCACAGGTACTCAATGGAGAAGTGAACTGTTCCCATAACAAAAAGAAATATTACTATTGGACAATGTGGACACCCGGTGGGAGGGGAGAGGGAATCCAATGTTTAACTAAGCAAGCTTTTGCACAGGAAATCTCAGAGTTGGCTTCGCTTCTTCAGTTCTGAGCTGTTGTATCCAATAAAGTTATGCCTGCTGGGACTTGTCTTGAGGATTCCTTTTGTTGGGTTCACTAGTCAGACAGTTGACACTCTTATTAGTATTTGGCTAATCACCTGCTAGAATTTTTCATATAGTTTTGCTCTTTATATATTTTTCTAACTAGTCAACATATATTTTCTAAATACAGACATTCCCAAAATTGCAGAGCATAAAATGAAATATTATTCGAATTAATTTTCACTGTATTTGCTACCTGCGCTAAATTGCTTGCTTCTGCGAGGAGAACGAGGTTGGCGCTGATAGGGATCACTCGATCCATAGAGGTCAAAGCTTCCTATGCTCAGCAGTTTAGTCTTCTGCATAAAATCTACAACAACCAGACCATTGCAGTTTCCAAATGCAATTCTGTGAAAAGAAATATGGTTTAAGTATTTTAGAGTTATCTCTTTCAAGTACTGAAACTGGAATAGATTTCAAACAAAGAGGCATTCATACAAGGTAATCCTTGTTTTTAATTTTTATTTTTCTTCATCGATTTTTTTTATCATGTATGTTGTCCTTTATTGTTCTTATACTATGAGCCCCAGAGAAATCTGTAGTCAGATGGCATCTAAATAAGATGAATTAAATTTAGCTCATTTTAAGAACCAGATCAGATGATGGGTCATTCATCTTTGGTTTCATGACAGACACTGAAAAGGGAGCCTGCTTGTCAAAAAGAGCTGGCTTAAACTCATAGCCTACAAGTGACATATAGTTCCTAGACCGTCATCTTTATTGCTCTAAGACCAGGCTGCTGACATTCATCAGTGATACAACCAGGGCTTTTTTTTCTCATAGAACGCCCAGAACGGAGTTCCGGCATCTTTTTTTGGATGGAATCTTGTAGGGTAGGCAAGGTGGGTTGTATGACATGTGTGAGTTCTGGCACCTTTTTAAAAAAAAAAAAAAAAAAAACCCCACTGGATATAACCAAATTTTGGCATTAGGATATATGGTCACTTTTTTGTAAGTATGCTTATAAGGATGGGAGTGAGAACAATTTGGCTCTGAGAAACTTTCCACTTCCACATTTGGTCCTAAAACTCCCAAAGTAAACCAAAGAAGAAGTCCATGTGCCTTTGGGTTATATCATATGATCATTGGAGGATCTCCTACAGCTTTTCAGAAGTTGGAAGGCTTAAGTATGTCTTTCCAAGCAGGTTATTCAGGCAATTACTAATCTCCTCTTGATAGGAGGTACACATACTTAAGGTTTTATGGGTCATCCTTCAGGTCTACTCTCTGTGCAACCAGAAAGAAATAAGGACAGTTGCTAGTTCATGAGGAAAAACATTGTACACTTTAAGAAACTATCAAGAGCAATCAAAATGGCACAGAAAGAATTGTAACCAGATGGTGAAAAAAGGATAATTTGGAAAACGATAAAATATTGAATGCTCCAGCCACATGAGTTTATATGATTCAATCTCAAAGTGACTCCTAGGAATGGTGGGCAACATCTGGCATAAAGAAAGGAGAGAGAATGTCTGTTTTTCAGGAACAATGAATCTTCCTGATTCCCCCACACTTATATGAGATCCAATTTATCCTCTTCTGTACCATAGTTAAGATAAGATGGAAATTAACTGGGCCTAAAATAGAAATGCCACAATGATGTCTAATAGTGGCAATTCAGAGGGAGTTTGGGAAAGAAAAATCCAGCAGTATGTGAACTCCACAGCACCACCCATCTCAATATTATGCCCAAGATGTAAGCATCCCTATTCACCAATACAATCCCATCAGAGCAGGAGCATTAAGTTTAAATTAAAGCATCCATAACAGATATCTGAATAGCCTCTCTTTAAGGAAATCTTTGTAGGGCTTCTTATAATTAGTACATTGATGAAAGTACTACCTTCCTATATTATAATACATTATAATGAGTGCAAAATTAGTACATTCCCTAACATTAAATCAGAAACTGCCTTTCTGGAATTTAAATGTGCAGTATTATTTTCCTTCCTCATATACAGTATTCTAATTCCAAAGCATACAATCATACTAAAGGGGAGGCAGGCAGAAACACAAGCAAGGAAGAATTCTTCCTCACGTAGGCTATGCATGGCAACAATATTGTTATGCTCTCAAGCAAAGGAGGATTAGTAGAAGGATAATCATAATAAATAGCAGCATTTTTTTCTCTGACACCAAATTAATATTAAACTGAAAGACAATATATATGTGAATGTCAAGGACTAAATATTACCACCTTCTTATTGTATGCAATTTCCTATTCTTGAATCACATTTTTTTAAATAGTTCATCAATTTCCTTAATGGCTGGGATAGCTTATTAAGTACACCCTTATAGATATAAAATAAAATACAAACACCAAAGGGATGGCTTTAAAAGTTCTGGAGTACTAAAATGTGTTGACTTGTCCCCAAAAAGGAATTGGGAATGGGCTTGCTTTAACTTCAGGAAAAAATTCATTCCACAAAAGGGCATGGAGAAAACAGAATTGGTCATTAATGTCATGCATCTCCATGGCAAGACCTGTAAATGGTAACCCACAAATGAACTAACAGGGTGTATAACACTATAGATAGTCCTTGCTATACAACCATTCCCTTAACTATCATTCAAAATTACAGTCCTCGCACTTATGATCATAGCAGAGTATGCAGTCACATGATCAGAATTTTGGAGCTTGGCAACTGGAACACATTTATGATGGTTGCAGTGTCCCAGGATCACATGATTGCCATTTGCAATCTTCCGGCAAGTGAAGTCAATGGGGAAAGCTGGATTTAATTGCCCCATGATTCCCTTAGTAATTATGATGATTCACTTAACAAATGCAGCAAAAAAACTAGTAAAATTGACTGCAACTCACTTAATGACCCATCACTTAGCAACACTTCTCTGTATGTACACTGAGACAGTGTGAGACAACAAGCAAAAGAGAGTTGTTTCCGATAAACTGAATTTTAGTCTATAAAACCCAATGACATAATATAATCTTTAAAGAGCCCCAATAGTCTTGCTTAGCTTTCATGCAAGATTCTTATGGATAATTTTAATCCCTAAATCTTATGAAGATGGCAGAGTCTTATTGATAACCATACCGAAGGTGTACATATATAGATAAATAGCTGAAATTAACTAGCAAGTTAATTAAGGAACTAATATATAGACCTATAGTTGCATAAACAATATGTAATTTTCCTTCTAGACATAAAACAAATAATTTAGAATTATTCTGCCTGAGTTTTGATTTTTGATTTGAGTGTCATTATGATGCAGACATTTAGTAGCATTTTGATAACTACATTGTCACCATGATTACATGTATTTGAATGTATGTAAAAGGTAACAAGACATTTTTAAATGAGTAAATATACTGTATCATAATGGAAAACTAATGAACTCAGCAGGCTATTTAGGTTTGTTTCCTTGAAAATAATCCTCTAATAATCAATGCAATGAAAGTCATTAAAATAAGGGTCACATGATAGCTGTCTTGAAGGGCTGTCACAGAGAATTTCTTCTCCAAAGCACCAGAAGACAAGACAAGCAGTAGTGAGTGGAAGCTTCTCAAAGACAGATCCAACCTAGAACCTAGAACTGAGAAGAAATTTCCTGACAGTGAGAACAGCTTGTCTCCTGGAGTTATGGGTGGTCCATCACTGGAGGTTTTCAAGAATAGATTGGACAACCATTTCATAGGGATGGTATAGGGTCTCCTGCCTTAAGCATAGAACAGAGGTCCCCAACTTTTCTAGCTCTGTGTACCAGCAGCAGCAGCGGGGAGAGGGGATGCTTTCAAGTGTGCGCCCATGCTTGTGCAAATGGAGCTTTGCACACTTGCACGCTTACAAGCTCACCTGCTGCTTGCAGGGTCCAGTTCCCAATGGGACGCAGCCTGGTACCAGGCCACGGACCATAGGTTGGAGACCTCTAGACTAGAAGACTTCCAAGGTCCTTTCCAGCCCTATGATTCTATAGTCCATGAATGTCTGTGGAGATTCTCAGTCATCCAGGTCATATTTGTCTCAAAGGTGTTTTTTCAAAAGGCAGCTGGATTGTTTTAGCCTTGAGGAGGAAGAAGAAGACATTTTGCTTCTCATCCGAGAAGTTTCATCAGTTCTGGCAGGATGGTGAGGGTGATGGAAGGATGAAGGATTCATATTCTATGAATATACATGCCTCAGAATACTTGGTTTTTGTTCATAGATATGCCAACAGTTTTGAGATTATGAAAATTTTGTATTGATTCATGATAAAAGTAATTAATTTATGATGTTAAAAGTAAAAGTAATTTATGATGGCTGACCCCAGTGGAAAAATAAGTGAAATCCATGCCTTGATTTGAACTACACAGGCTGTAACAGCTTTTAGAACTCTAATGTTTCTTCCTCCATGGTTTGACAGCTTCCATGAAAAACTCAAGAACATTCATGAGGATCCAAATATTGTGTTTATGATAGTACCCAAAATCACCAGATCTTTGATTGTTATGGGTTATTTTTTGCAAAACGCTGTTTTGATAGCACTTTTATTTGGATCTTACATAAGAAGTAATAGGGATCTGTATCTTGGTGCCATATTTTCTGCCATTTTCTTCCAAACCACCAAAAGAAAACAAACTGATTGGAATATGCTTTTCTCTCCCTGGAATAGGTTCTATTACTGGTTCCAGATAGACCTCCATTCTTTTTTTTTTTTTAATAATTTTTTATTTTTCCAAACTCTCCCCCATACATATACCGTGATATTTATCAGATGTTAACATACATTTTTTTACATTCATATATAAGATACTTTTAATAAAATTAAATACATACACATGAGTTTTGGTGTTGCTCGCCCATTTCCCCTTTCACTGTATCCACACTCCTTCTTCTCTACCTTCTTTCTCCCTTTCTTCTCTTCCCTACTTCCCTCTTATTCCTCTTCTCTTCTCTTTCCTTCACCACTCTCCTCCCCTTTCTCCCCACTTCTCCTCTTCTCCTCCAACCTTCCTACTTCCTTCTCCCCTCCTTTACTCTTTTCCCTCTCCTCTCCTTTCTTCCCTCTCATCCCTCTTCAGATACAATTCAGGGGTAATGTCCGAGCAACTCCTCTCTCTATCTGTATTATATAAAATAAGATTAATTTTCTCTTACATTAATACTTCTATTTATCTAACCTTCTCGGTATATACTTCTATAAATATTTATATAGTTATTCAATACTGTGTCGCCTGGATCTCCTTCCTTATCTGCTCCTTCTTCTTCCATCTAAATTGATGTTAACTATCTTTTAACCATATTCTCTTTTCAGCCAATCATAAAAAGTTCCCAAGATTTCATAGTAGATAGATCTCCATTCTAAAGATGACTCAAATTTCCCACTTCCCAACCAGCCAAACTGACCAAACCCAAATGAAGATATAAGGGGATAACTTACAATCCATAGGCTGAATTCATTGCTAGGCTGGTTATTTGTTGAGGAAGCTCACCATCTACACACAACAATTGAATAACAAGTTCTGCTTGATAACCAGGGGGCATTCTTACAGCACGAGTCTTCACACTAAGAAGAAGAGGAGAAACAATTATCAAAATGATCTGATTACCAAATTGGAAATCACTTGCACTTATAAAAAAACTGGCTTTGAGAAAATATAGAGTCAAAATGCGACTATACAGTTTCTAAGGGGAAGAGTGGGTGAGAAACATTAAGTATATATAAATGTGTGTGAATAGTATTGATTGAAGTTTTCTTCCTCTCAACTGCTTGTCTTATCCCAATTCTGTTTTACTCTTCTGAGTAAAACAAATCAGTGTTATATCTTCATATTAGGTCTCATTTGATTCTTGAAGCAAGGGTAACAAAAAAATTATGATGCTTTTTCATATAAAGCAAGAATGCAATCTACAGTAACTCCCGATTAGAAATATTAAAGAGCTATTGGAATAATCCTAACTCACCCTTCCATTGTGGAAAAGAGCAAGATTAAAGTTCTTCCATATCCCTATTTTTTATCATAACCTGACACGTTTCATGGGGTTGAACTGAAGAGCAGGACAGTCTTCACTTTGCAACAAGAATACTCATTTAATGCTGTTTGTGGTTGCTTAACTGTGTGGCACTAAATACAGATAAAGAAATTTTGTTCTTCTCAAAAAAACTCAGTCACTGCATTGGAATGGAAGAATAATAGTGATTTATTGCTATAAATTGTAATGTTTTATTAATACAGGGCCTAAAATGTAACATGACAAAATTCTGTGACTATACGAGTCACAGGAGTGCTAAGTTCTCTCCTGTCTCTATCCTTATCCCATTCTGGAGCTGTCCCAATTTTGTTAGCTTCACTTCATTTCTCTAAACCACAGGTCGGCAACCTGCGGCTCCGGAGCCGCATGTGGCTCTTTGAGCCTTCCCCTATGGCTCCCAGCCTCCTCTGCCATTTGCAGAGAGAGTTAGAGACAGAGAGAGGCACTTGCACTTCCATTCTCTCTCTCTCTCTCTCTCTCTCTCTCTCTCTCTCTCTCTCTCTCTCTCTCTCTCTCAAAAAGAGTGGACTCACGATATTCTCCAACGAGCTGAAAAGCTTATTTGGGCGGAGCTCCTCCCTTTGCTGCATCTCTTCAGGAAGCAGGAAGGGCAGAAGAGAGCTAGCTAGCCCAGCTATGCTGACTCAGGAATTCTGGGAGTTGAAGGCCATGAGTCATAAAAGAGCTGAGGTTGCCTACCCCTGAGCTTGTTGGAGAACAGCTTGAAGCCAGCTTGCCAGGTGAGCAGAAGATCGAAGAAAGGGAGGGGGGGGAGAAAGAGAGGGAGAGAGAAAGAGACAGAGAAAGAGGGGAAGAGGAGAGAAAGAGGAAGAGGGAGAAGAAAGAGAGAAAGAGAGAGAAAAAGAAAGAAAAAGAGAAAGAGCAAGAGAGAGGGAGGGAGGGAAAGAGACAGAGACCCTTTTGACATCTAAAATGAAGATAACACTGCATATATCCTTTTTTACCTTTATTATAGGTGTGTGTATATATGTATGCATGTGTGTGTATATATGTGTGTGTGTATGTGTATGTATGTATGTGTATGTATGTGTATATATATGTGTGTGTGTGTGTGTGTGTGTGTATATATTTAACCTTTATTATTATTATTATTTGTTTGTGTGTGTGTATATATATATATATATATATATATATATATATATATATATATATATATATATATATATATATATATATACACACACACACACAAACAAATAATAATAATAATAAAGGTTAAAAAGGATATATGCAGTGTTATCTTCATTTTAGATATCAAAAGGGTTTTGCGGCTCCCAGTGTTTTGTTTTCGGTGGGAAACGGGTCCAAGTGGCTCTTTCAGTGTTTTGGGTTGCCTACCCCTGCTCTAAACTATCCAAATTCTTTGGAAATTTTGTTTCTGATTTCTAAAGATTAGCTATTCCCCTCATTTTATATACTGAATAGTTTATAAGCATTCTCTTGACCAACTTGTTTATGTTATTTATAAAGACATCAAAGGATATTTGGCCAGCTGGGCTTCATCAGTGTGTGAGAATCTAGCATAGGTGAGAGGTCATGAAAGTCTCCTTAGGAGGAGGAGGAAGAAGGGCTGGTGGTTTGGAGAATACAGCTTGCCCTTCCTTTTTCATCCCCAGACTCAAGCATTCTTTTACTTTTGGGACATTAAACATTCAAACACCTTCTACTCCGATATTCAATGTCAACATAACATTAGGTCTCAGAGGAACAGCAACTTCAAACAATGGGCTTAGAGACTTAGCCAAAACAAATATGGAGGGGTGTGCCAGCCTAGATATGATAGGAATCTATTGTACTACATGGTTATTGGTAGCTACTAAATCAGCCATGCTGAGCTCAGTCTCAAATGAGAGGAATGGTTTCTACGTCTTTCTTAATAAAGAAATAGCACAATGGTGAGCAACTACACTTATTTGAACATTCTGTAACCATTTCTTAGTACAAAAACAGAAAATAATTCTTGAGATACTATTTATACAGAGCTATCAAAATCCATGATACTTCACAATCTTAGCAGAAAAATATAAATGTTGAAGAAATTTTGTTATAAATGTTGAAAAAGAACAGAGAACAAAAACAATTTAAATCAGTCTACATTCTTTACCTGAGAAATGGACTACAATCCATTGTTTGCTCAGATGAAGCATTGCAATTGTCTGAGAGGTCTTTTAAAGATGAAAAATTGGAAGAGGCATCAGCAAATGAAGTCATAATTTCTGCTTCAGGACTAATGGTATCTTCTATCTCATTCTGGAGCTTCACCTCTAAAGACTTTAAAAAATTAAAACTCAGATTAGATTTAGAAATATAGTTAAAAGATACAATATTGTGAAGCCAATCTGCTTTCGCAGTATTCCAGAATGTCATCTACATGCCAGGAAACTGCAAACTTCCCAAACTAGGCTAAGTATGAAGGAATCCATCAAAATTATAATGACTGTCAATTGTAAAGCAGAATTTAAAAAAAACTAATCAGAGGAACAAGGTATTCTAAATGTGCCTTCCTATTGTACCATATTAATCTTGTGGCCTAGATTCCTGGAAATATATTTTTCTGTTCTCATGTAAATATGAAGATGATTCCAGCTTCTTAGAGATTTCTATGAGCAATAGGAACCTAGACATTAAGAAATAGTACTTTCCCAGAATTTGTTTCCCAATCTATCTTATGATGATCTGGACTGAAGACCTGCAAGGTAGACTTGCAAATTTCTCCAAACATATATAAATGATGAGTTAAGTGATGTCATGACCTCCCTCTCGCAGTGCCTGGAGGCTGTTAGGGGCTGGATAGGGAGCAACAGGTTGAAACTGAACCCTGGCAAGACCCAGTGGCTCTGGGTTTGGGGTTCTTTGGTTCATGGCTATATAAATTTTCTAAATAAATAATAAGTCTCAGTAGACCACTAAAAGTGTGAGCTATGATATCCCAGGCATCCCTTACCCTTTCAAGGACTTAGACTCTAAAACTTATTTGGTTCCTTTAGACATTTGAGATGAAGATGGCAGGCTAGGAATTTGGCTGATTCAAAAGAACTGCTAGGTTTCCCTATGGAGGAAGGCATAGGCTATTAAACTTCCAACTTTTTCTGGAGCTGTTTGTGAGGAACTCCACAGAACTGCAGAAAAGTAATTGAGATAAAGCAAATTCATAAATTACAAATTCAAGACTGCAAATTCTCTTGATTTAAAAGCATGGGTTATAAGGAGGAAAGACGGTTAGAAGTTCTTCTGAGACCAATAGAGTGTGTTTTGTGTGTGTTGTTCGTCCATCGATTTTGATGAGGACCTTGACATCTTGTAGATTATGGGCCATCAACGATGTGTCTGTAGGTGGCTGATAAGACCGATGTTAGCACGGAGTGTTCTGCCACATACTGAACAAAGAAATGTAGACACTGTTACTTCAGCATTTACAGCTCTGGCTTTGCGGAGTGCTCGCTTCTCTTGTGCCAAGATTGTCCTTCTGTGTTCATATGTCTGGCAACTGTTATGACGTCCTAGGCTGAGATTTCGCTGTAAATAAGGAAACTACCAGCAGGAATGAAGAACAATGCTTTACTAGTGAGGTGAAGCATGAACAAAGTCGGCACTGAGAACCATCCGTTCTCAGTGCTCTTATATAATACTTGTATCCACCACACCCAACACCACATCTGTTTCCCACATGCCCAACACCACTTAGCCCCACCCAATTACCCCAAGAAACCACCATCTGGTCTTCCACAGTAATCATATGTCCCAGGTGCTGTGAGTCTGTCCTGATGAGTAATTGCCTCTGTGCAGGTGCGGCCTTGCTAATTTGCGTCTTAGCTGTCTCTGCACATGTGCGGTTTAGCCAGATTGTCTCTTGGCTGTCTCTGCGCATGCGTGGAACTGCCAACTGTTTGTGTGCATGTGTGAGTCGTCCTGGCCAGTGGCATTAGTGCGCATGCGCGGATCAGCTGGGGAAGTCCGCGCTGGGATGTTGGGCCTGTGCTTGGCCTCGTAAAGCGTCTTCGCTAATCCTTCAAGAGGGCATCAACCCTTGATCGTCATGGGCTGTCAGCGGTGGCCTCAGAAGACCAGAAATGGCCGGTTAAGGCAGGCCCAGGTAGTTTGGAATTTACTGGAGCAACCGGTGATGGGTTTCCATACAGCAATGCCTCATAGGGCCCAACATACCGCCCCCCTTACCAGGGTTCCCCCTAGGAAGGAAAGTACAACTTGTTGGCATAGTACCTGTCTTCTTATCTCCCCCCCCCCGGCTTTCCTGGATACTTTACATGGAATGCCTTAACCAACTGGGGTGCATGGACGTCACCCTCAACCACCCAAGATGCTTCTGACAATGGGTACCCTTTCCATAATACCAAATAGTACAGCCTACCCCGTTTCATTCGTGAGTCCAATATCACCTGCACCTCATAATGGTCAGATGTGACAGGACCAGGTGGATTTTGATACTTGATATTCGGATACTGGCTTCAATAGGCTACTGTGAAACACAGGATGAATTTTCCCGAGGAACATGGGAAGCTGAAGTCTTACCGTGACCAGGTTGATTACCTGAGTTATTTTGAATGGACCTATATATTTCGGTCCCAGTTTTTTGCAAGGAATCCGTAACCATATGTATTTTGTGGACAAATATACTGATTGTCCTACAGTAAATGGCTTTGTCTGCCTGCTCCTTGGCCTTCTCATCTGCTTTCATTAACGCTTTCCTAACTATACTCCAAACTCCACTGACCTTAGATAACCAGTCCTTGGGTAAATACGGATGGGATTTATACGTTCGGTACTCGGGCATACGTACAAAATCCCTACCTGACACTACTTGGAAAGGGGTGAAACCGGTGCTGCTATGTACAGTGTTGTTGTAGGCTACTTCTGCGAAAACAACTAGGTCCACCCAATCGGTCTGCTGATATGAAATATAACTACGCAGGTATCTCTCTATTGCTGCGTTTGCCTGTTCCGCAACGCCGTTCGTGCTTGGATGATACGCCGAACTGAGACCTTGTGAAGAGCCGAGTAAATACACAAAGTTGCTCTAGAATTGCGCTGTAAATTGGACTCCACGATCGGATATAATTCTACCTGGGGCGCCATGGATACGATAGACATGGGTGAGAAACATGCGGGCAAACCTTTGGGCCGATGGTAATCCCTTACAGGGAATAAAATGAGCCTGCTTAGAAAATAAATCAATTACTGTCCATGCTGAATCAATCACAGTGTATCCCTTGCTATTGGGAAAATCTACAATAAAGTCCATGGATATATCCTGCCATGGATATTCTGGATCAGTCACTGACTGTAGAAGCCCCAAAGGTTTCCCGGGGTGATGTTTGGAGATGGCACATGTTCATGCTTCACCTCACTAGTAAAGCATTGTTCTTCATTCCTGCTGGTAGTTTCCTTATTTACAGCGAAATCTCGGCCTAGGACGTCGTAATAGTAAGTTGGCACTGAGAACCATCCGTTCTCAGTGCTCTTATATAATATTTGTATCCACCACACCCAACACCACACCTGTTTCCCACACGCCCAACAACACCTAGCCCCACCCAATTATCCCGAGAAACCACCATCTGGTCTTTCACAGTAATCATATGTCCCAGGTGCTGTGAGTCTGTCCCGATGAGTAATTGCCTCTGTGCAGGTGCGGCCTTGCTAATTTGTGTCTTAGCTGTCTCTGCGCATGCGCGGTTTAGCCGGATTGTCTCTTGGCTGTCTCTGCGCATGCGTGGAACTGCTAACTGTTTGTGTGCATGTGTGAGTCGTCCCGGCCAGTGGCGTTAGTGTGCATGCGCGGATCAGCTGGGAAAGTCCACACTGGGATATCGGGCCTGTGCTTGGCCTTGTAAAGCATCTTCGCTACTCCTTCAGGAGGGCATCAACCCTTGATCGTCATGGGCTGTCAGCGGCGCCTCAGGAGACCAGAAATGGCCGGTTAAGGCAGGCCCAGGTAGTTTGGAATTTACTGGAGCAACCGGTGATGGGTTTCTATACAGCAATGCCTCATAGGGCCCGACAGCAACCCTAGTACACCAAGGTGCACCATGTCGGTCGATCATGCGCCAGAAGTTCCCAAGAGATGGTGTTAATATCCAGGGACCTGAGAGAGGCTTTCAGCGTATCTTTGTATCGCTTCTTTTGTCCCCCGTGCGATCGTTTTCCTTGAGACAGCTCACCATAGAAGAGCTGCTTAGGGATGCGATGATCTGGCATCCTTACAACATGGCCTGGGCTTTCATCAACAGAGTGTAAATTGATGATAAGCCTGCTCTGGAGAGGACATCTGTGTCTGGTATCTTATCCTGCCACCGGATCCTCAGAATTCTACGAAGGCAAGTCATGTGGAAGTAGTTCAGTTGCCTAACGTGCCTCCTGTACACTGTCCAGGTCTCACTAGCATACATCAGAGTAGTTAGCACTGCTGCCTGGTAAACTTTAAGCTTAGTAGCAAGGCTTATTCCACGGCGGTCCCACATGTTAGTCCGCAATCTGCCAAATGCAGAACTTGCCTTGGCAATTCTACAGTTGACTCGTTGTCAATTGTCACTGCACTGGAGAGGGTACTACCAAGATACATAAATTGGTCCACTGCTTGCAGCTTTTGTCCCTTTACTGTGAATAGAAAATAGACCAACAGAAAATAATATTTGAAGCTCAGAGTTGAACTGTGGGGTCCTTATGCTCTCTGAGCTTAGTGTTTTTCTTGCACACATATTCTTCCATGCTTGCACCTGCACTAATGATGTTATTTAGTTTGGTAATGAAACATTTACAAGAAAACCACCAAGCTCAGAGAGCACCAAAGACCAAACAGAGAAAGATCCAGAAGAATAAAAACTAACTGTCAGAATGGGAGCATTCAATAAAATGTTTTGTTTTAACAGGTTCAGTTTGTACTTGGAAAATATTAATTTTGTAGCATCAGAATAACCTGCTGATTCCAAAAAGGTCTGCTTTGACATTCTTCCCATGCAAGTCATCCTCAAAAGTATGCTTATTACAGCTTTTTTTGAATGTTTAAAATATATAGGAAAGCCATAATATCTAGCTGCATATTCAGGTTTCAACTATAATCACTGCATGGTAAACATAGCCATGTTTACTGATAACTATAATTGATTAAAGGGAAACTTTAATGTAAGCAAATCAGTGTATAAGCAACACTCATACAAACTTACCGATATTTCAGTATTAACTTCATGTTTGCTGAATCTATAAACGATAACATATGCAGAGACACCAGCTATGCAAAATATTCTACTTTCAGGACACCAGTACATTAACTGGATTGCACAAGGATCCTCTTCTATCATATCTATTGCTGGCTTGCCTTCCAACTTTCGTTTTTCAAATATTTTTGAAGTTTTTAATTTGTACAGCATTTGCAGTGTGACTAGAAAAAATTGAAACGATCTGTTATATTACTTTGATGTTAAAATGGAAAGTGGAAAGAAATCGTATTGTTACAATCTGTATTTTCTATTATCGTCACTATTTTGGGATCCTCACTATTTGTGGCCCTCTGATCGAAAGCACAGGCACACTGTAAAAAATCTGGTATTTAGTGCTTACCCCCCCCCCCAAAAAAAAACCTAAAAAAAGGACAAACTTCAGTGCTAAACATCCTGTACTGTCAAAAGAATACTTGAACCTTCCTTTGCATTTTTCAGATATTATATTGTAGCATATAATCAGCAATCTGTTTCTGATGGGCAGCAGATGAATTGAGCAGCAGGGAAAGGGAAAGAGATTCCTTATGACTGAAGGGGCTTCACTTTGTGCAGCACTCTGCTTTAAATGAGAAAAACAGACTACATTCTATGTACTGCACTCCAGTCTTCTTTCAATCATTTCAATTGCTCATTAATCATTTGAATATGCAATTAAACAGAAGTGGAAGCCTCTTAATGATCAATTGCAGAGTCAGAAAAAAGATCGCATGAAGACTAAACCATACTAGAAATCTAACTACTGTTAGATTTCTAGTGTCTTTGCAGGCATACAATTTTGACTTTTATTCATTCCTACTAATTCACACTCCGCTACAATTATTCCCTTTTAAATAATATTTTACAGCTTGTCAGGAATTCATTACATTGTACCAATTTCATGTATTTTGAGTAACAGATTCAATAACTGCAATTAATTCACTCATTTCCAAATCTGTAACATATATTTATAATGCAGAAATAAATTAAAAAACTTACTGGCAGAAGCATCCCAAAATTTTACTGATCCGTCTGCATGACTTAAAAGAATATAATAAAGGTCAATTAAAACAAGGTAGAATAACATTATCATCATCATATACTTCTACTAAGACTGAACTTGGTTTCAGTTCCTGTGATAAAAGAGCACAGGTGACAAATCTCAACTGCCATCTATAGTCATTGGGAACACATAACTATCTATAGTCATTGGCCGCATAACTCATCTGAAATGTACTGTAGAACAAAGATTTCTTACACTAGCTAAAATTAAATAGAAGTATGATAAGGAGCAGCCAGGTTTTGGGTGGATGAAGAAAGCTCCAGCTACTTTAATGGATTCTGTCCTCAAGTGGCTTTTTCAAACATTGGTCGCATGCATATCTTTGCAAATGATTTTTGCTGCAACCTACCAAAAGCCAATATTTATTTATTTATTATTAGATTTTTATCCTGCCTTTGTTACTTTATAAAAAACTCAAGGTATCAAACATATGGAATTCTCCTTCCTCTTTCTATTTTCACCACAACAACAACTCTGCATAGAAATGAGTGTCTCCACAAGCAGATTTTTCCCCTCTATTAACAAAAGCAGACTTAACCACTGCAGAAAGAGGATCACATCAAAGAGCATTCCAAAGTTACCGTATATCTCTCTTCTTCAGACCTAAGACTTAATTTCAAATAGGCAAGTCTCCTGTTCTTGAAAAGATACATGTGGTATGAGTGTAACAAAGGCTGGTAACCTAATACATACCTTATATATGTTACTAAATGTGTATTGTGAAAGTCTCAATTTATCAAATCATCAGGGAATGGAATTCAATATCTATAGGCCCATTTAATATTGTAATGACCATGACATATGGAAAACATAATTTAGACTGTAAAAGGAATAAAGGGCGAATACAAATTTTAAAAAGTGATAGATTGGGTTTATGAAATTAAGAAAAATGAGAAGGATGTAATATATTGGACTGAAGGTTTCTAACAGTTTCTTGTGGAGTAGAATTAATGAAGGGAAGAAAAAGTGCAGATTAAAATATGAATAAAAGGGCTAACATGTATATTAAAAAGTATAAATGTATATAAAAAGTATAAATCCATGTCCTATAGGTTGTTTTAAGAGTGTATAGCTGTAGAAATCCTTGGTAGAGTTACAGTGAAGAGATAATTCTGCATAATTAATAATGATAAAACTGTACAACACTGTGAATTAATACAATACAGGAGGTATCTTATTTTGTTACAATGAATAGCTACATTTGGAGACCTAACATTAATTAGAACTGTTCTTCTTTAGTGAGTATCTGCTTAGAAGAAAAGAGAATGTGGGAACTGCTTAAAACAAAAGTAAGAATTATATTATAAAGTGCCAGAGAAGTATAAAAATATTATATGACAAAAACAAGTATGAGAAAGGATATTTGATGGGATGGTGTAAAAGTAGTGGTTGAATTAAAGAAAAATGCACATAAGAGATGCAGGATGACAGAAAAATATAGTACATCATTCTAGCATGCAATGCTGTGAGAATGTTGAAAAATTGTGAAGTATAGAGGTGCAACCAGAAAAATGTTAAAATATGTACATTATGGAGTTCCTATGTGACCTATTTATTTTGTATATGAAAGTTACATCTACTATATGCCTGTTAACTGGAAAATGCTGATCTATTTCTCTACACAAAAGGAATAGCAGGAATTAATACAAAAATTCCAGTGGGATTAGTTTAACAGAACAGAGTTGGAAAGGACTTTGGATATCTTCTAGTCCAATCCCCTGCTCAAACAGAAAACTCTGTACCATTCCAGTCAAATGGTTATCCTTAAAAACCTCCAGTGATGGAGCACCCATAACTTCTGGGGCAAGCCATTCCACTGATTAGTTACAGTTCCTGCAATTGTCCAATTGTATGTTTTAGCCTCAGACCCCTAATCATCTTTGTTGCTCTTCTCTGCTCTCTTTCTAGAGCCTCAACATCTTTTTTGTATCGTGGTGACTAAACTGGATGAGGTATTCCAAGTGTGGTCTACCAATGCAGTATCAAGAGGTACTAACACTTCATGTGATCTTGATACTATTCTTCTGTTGATGCAGCCTAGGACCGCATTGGCTTTTTTTACAGCCGCAGTACATTGCTGGCTCTAGTGCAGTGGTTCTCAACCTTTCTAATGCCGCGACCCCATAATACAGTTCCCCATGTTGTGGTGACCCCCAACCACTTATACATCACCAGGTGCCAGGGGCGTGGCCAAAGAAAAGGGGGGGAAAATGGCGGACAGCCTTGTTTGGCGACCCCCGTGAAATGGTCGTTCGACTCCAAATGGGGTCCCGACCCACAGGTTGAGAACCACTGCTCTAGTGGTTGTCCACTAGAACTTCTAGATCCCTCTCACAGTTACTTCTGTTGAGCCAAGAACTTCCTATTCTATACTTGTGCATTTGGTTTTTCTTGCCTAAGTGTAAAATCTTCCTTTTCTAAGCACTGAATTGCATTTTGGGGGGGATAGAGCTCAGTGTTCAACTCAGTCAAGATCCTTCTGTAATCTTGAGCCTATCTTCTAAAGCAGTGTTTCCCAAACTTGACAATTTTAAGGCATGTGGACTTCAACTCCCAGAATTCCACAGCCAGCATTGTTGGCTGTGGAATTCTGGGAGTTGAAGTCCACATGCCTTAAAATTGTCAAGTTTGGGAAACACTGTTCTAAAGTGTTGGCTATTTCCCCCAACTTCTCTGCAAATTTGAGGAGTCCCCCTTCTATCCCCTCATCTAAATCATTTATGAAGTAGTTGAAGAGTACTGGGCCCAAGACTGAAACTTGGGGTACCCCACTGCATGCTTTCCTCCATGTGGATATAGTTTCATTGAGGACTACATGCTGAATGCAGTAGTCAGCCAGTCATGCAGTTATAAATGCATCTGGTGATGATACTTTTTCTATCTTACCAAGAAGTGGGCTGTAGTCTACTGTGTCAAGTGCCTTACTGAAGTCCAAGTATACTACATCTACAGCATTTTGCTGTTCCACTAATTTAGTCATTTTGTCAAAGAATGCACTAAGGTTTGTCTGGCATGATCTGTTTTTGACAACCCATATTGGCTTCTAAATAAGTTTATTAAATATGCCTAGGAAAATAGCAGAATTCTGGTTAAAAAATTAGAAGCTATGACACTGAACAAAATTTGGGAAGTGGCATGCAAGTTTGTGTTTAATAGAAGGTAAGCAGATGAGATTTTTTAAAAAAAATATTTTATTGGAAAAATATAATAACCCCAGAGGGAAAACCAAAACTATGACTTTATTCATACTGTCTTTATTATAATGTTACAGTAACAGAATCTTGCAAATCTCACAGCACTTCTCCCCATCCTTGCCTTTAGAAACATAGAATCATATGGCTGGAAGGGACCTTGGAGGTCTTCTAGTCCAACCTCATGCCAAGGCAGGAGACCTTATAGATTATCAAGACTCTTTTCCATTTAGTTTCTAATTAGATATAATGGGGTATGAGAATAATCTTCAGAAACAGGAGGAAGAGCCACAGTCTACATAATAATCTGATAATGGGGCAAGCGCCTCAGAATGGACTCTCTCTACATATGATAAATGGTTAAGGGAACTAGGTAGGTCTACCCTAATGAAGACAAGGATTAGTGGGGTGGCATGATAGCTGTTTTCCAATACTTGAGGGAATAGCACGGAGAAGAAGGTGTTGACTTATTTTCCAAAGACCTGAGGGCAGGACAAGAATGAGTAGAAGCTTGTTAAAGAGAGAAGCAACCTGGAACTAAGGAGAAATTTCCTGACAGTGGGAACAATTAAGCAATGGAACACTTGCCTCCCAGAATTGTACATGTTCAATTGCTGGAGGTTTTCAAGAAAAGATTGGACATCCATTTGTCTGGGATAGTGTATTATAAAAAAATAATCATGTAGAGATTGCTAGACACTGATAGAAATAAAAGAAAGGACTTCAAAATTTAATATTGAAAGAGAAATTTAAAATTGAATTTGCTGGAGTAGAAATTTCTGAGTAGAGAAGCTATGGTGGGAAAGAGGAAAGGTTAACGTAAAGGAAGTAAGATAAACATATAGGCAAAAATAGCTGGGTCTGAGAAAGGAAGAAGAGAAGCCATAAAAAAATATATAGCTGTAAAAGGAAATGGCTAGCCAGGAAAGACAGGTTGAATTGGAGAATAGGAAAATAAGCTGAATAAGATAAGAGGAAAGGCACACTGAATTGAAAAGCAGGAAAAGCACTTATTATTTAAAATGGGAACATAAATATCTACAGAGTTTAAAATAACCATTTAAATGTCTAATTTTTCTTATTATTATTGTATATGTGAATATGATTTAATATGTAGCAGGAAATATGTAGGAGGCGGTCAGAAAGAGTGGAAGGAGGGGGATGAATTAGCAAATTTGGTGAATTTTGAGGATTAGGGGTGTCAGGGGACTAATCTGTTTTTTGGTCCATCTTTTTAGGAATCCCTGATAAACCTTAAAAGTTGGATCCCTGGAGGAGGAAAGGGTGTACTCGGTGGATTCTGGAGCAACCAGATTTACCCTGAACTATACACCTCCAGGAATGCAAATTGGGAAAGGGAAGATTCAGGATCAGGCAATTATGGACATGTAGTAGAAGCAACATATTTAAATCTGCTATGGACCAGACAGTAGTAAAAGGACCTGAATTCTGTATTGGTTAAAGGGAGCTGCAATTTGGCCAGGGGATACTTAATTGGTAAATTGGGAGTTGTTATTATGGGGAATAAAAGAGAAATAATTGTAAATATTATGACCTTGAGTGAGGAAGTTCAAGGAAAAGTGGACCCTCTTATATGGGCCCAAGAGGGCAATAGAAGAGGGGTACATATGGATCTTTTAAAGGTGACTTTAAAGAACCCTGGGGAAGTAATTCACCAGATACAGTATAACATTACATTGGAAGGAAGAATGGGTTTAAAGCCCATGGTGGAAGGGCTATTGAAGGGGGGTGAAATTTTTGAGCAATCCTTTTAAACGTGTTTAGT